ATCCCTCCCCTCCTTTGGCTATTTGCTGTGATTAGGACTTTCCAAAGCATAATATAATGGGGTTACGTTGCTTGATTCTCCTGCTTTTGTTCTGTCTAGCTGCAGCGCCCCAGTGTTCCCCAGCTTGCCATCCTAATGCTGTCTGCCGATCCAACAATACCTGTGAATGCAACCTACATTATGAGGGGGATGGATTGATGTGCACAGGTATGAGTAGAATAGTGACAATGAATGCAATATTTTAAAGGATTTGTGAGGATCCTTGCCATGCTGAGGCATTTTGAAGACATTCAATGTTAAGATAGTACTAGTAACAACAACAGATAGACTAATGTAATTTGGAATTTTACACTTTGTACTTGCTTGGTTTAATTGGTTTTGTGGCTTGGTTTCATTGGGCTAAATCCAGTTGTTAAGTGCCAACTAAGGTTAGGTCCACACAGTGGGAATACCTACATGTTGACTAGAGAAGTCCTGTTCATTCAATGTGCCTACTCTAGTTGGGACTAACTATTGTATTTTGCCCATTGTTCTCAGGTGACTACTCTGCAGTAACAGTGTGTGTATATGTTTTAACTGTAGCATTACAATCAAAAATTGTGGGATGTTATTACTCATTAAGACCGGTTTGTCTGTCACAACGTCACTCTAGAATTATAGTGCTGGGAGTGAGCTAAAAAAATTAAGCACTGGTGTACAATTCTAGAATCTTCTCAAAGCTTCCTTTAAATGTTGAGCCAGTTTTGCTGGTCATGAGTAGACATGGGGATGAATATAAAAACGAGTCAGGATATTCATTAAATATCCTTGATTCGTCAGATATTCATTGCTTCGTATTCTTCTTGTCCAGAGACCCCAACGAATATGAAGGAACAAATAAAACCCTTTTATATTTGTCCCTTTGTTCCCTATCTGCTTATGCCCCGCGCATCAGCTGTTCCTCAGGGAGATAAGCAGAGAGGGATTTTCCCTTTGGGTGGCTTGCTAAATCCCACCCCCGGGGCTGGGGGATGGCTTGGTTACCCTTTCCTCCTCTTCCTATGCCTGTATGGCATAAAGGAAGAGGGATCAAAGGGATCCCCCAGCCACTGCGGGATCATTTTGATCCATGCTTTTCCCCTCCTTTTGCTAAGCCCTGCCAGGCTTAGCAAGTTGAGGGGGAAAGCAGGAATCAAAGCACGGTAGGATCGCTTTGATCTCTGCTTTCCCTCCTCTTCAGGGAAAGCAAAAAAGAAAAGAGACCTGATAAATAACGAATTGATTCATTGTTCCTCAGGTCACGGGGGAGGGGCAATTCATGGTTCGTGGGTCATCAAGTTTGACAACCTATGAAACAAGACGAAGTGCCATTTTGGCGCTTTGTCCCCATCTCTAGTCATGAGGTGTGTGGCCTTACAATCTCATTCTTCCATAGAGCCACTCCCCTGAGATTACTTGATGTAGAATTGCTGTGGAAAAAACCATTTTCCTGAAAGGGCCACTAAGGTTATGTTCTGGCCTGAATGGGGATTCGTGATTCATGAAACAAGACGAAGTACCATTTTGGCTCTTTGTCCCCATCTCTAGTCATGAGGTGTGTGGCTTTACAATCTCATTCTTCCATAGAGGCACTCCCCTGAGATTCATTGATGTAGAATTGCTGTGGAAAATGGTTCCTGAATGGGCCACTAAGGTTATGTTCTGGCCTGAATGTCTGTGGTAATTTAAACTATGGGCAGACCACTAGCCACAATTTGGAATTTTCCCCAGATTCTCAAGTTTTTTGCCACTTTAAATGCAGAGTTCTGACTCTAGGGTTGTTTCTCCTAAAAATGAAATTTAGGAGTTATTTACCCACCTGATACTGCTTAGGTCTTTTCAGAAAGTATTTGCCTCTTTTGATTTCTTCTTGTAATATCTCTGTTGAATAGAGATTTTAAAAGAGCAAATCTAACACAAAAGCAAGTACTTTCTGAAACAGGAATGGCGTTTCTTTGCATAATTTTTATTTTCCCCGCACTTAACCATTTTTACAATGTGTTCAAAATCTGTCCTAGCATTTAAAAATCTGGAAATCCTGCTGAAATTTCACTGGAGAGGGTTCAAAAGTGTGATGAATTCTTAGAAGAACTCTGGTTGAAGACTTTTTTTAAAAAAATCCATTCAACTGTTGCTGAAGTTGAGAGAATCCATTCCTTTCTGCTTCTGAAGCAGCCTAAAGAGTATGAGTAGGTGGACCTTGATCCTCAAATGACAGATGACAGTTTGACGTGACTCTTTTTACTGAAATGCCCTTTCTGATGTAGTGGTGGACCTGTGTGGAACTGACCATGGGGGCTGCAGTGAGCATGCCAACTGTACCCAGGTTGGAACTGATGTTTCCTGCAGCTGCTTCCCAGACTATCAGGGCGATGGCTATGTCTGCAGCCCAATTGACCGATGTGCAGATGAATGGAATGGAGGCTGCAGTGAGCAAGCCATTTGCATCAGCACGGGTCCTGTAAGTATGGATCGCTGCACTGGAGACGGCCTGTATACCCCTCCGGCGGCGACAAGGGGGGCTCAGCAGTGGCAACGATGTTGGGCTAAAACAGATGGTGGCTGAAGAAATATCGGAGATAGATTTTTCAGCACGGCTCCTTTTACAAACTGCGATACAAGGACTGAAGGATGCCTAACTAACTTTTACAAATGTTTAGCGGGAGAAAGAAAAGCAAGTTTTGGAAAACATAGAGTGTGATATTTCACACAAAGGGGGACACAGTGATACGTTGTGGATATCCTGTCATGGGATTTTCACAGCCTTGGCTTCTCTCACCCCCTGTGGTTTGCACCTTAGTTTGCTTTTTCTTCAGGTTGCTTTTGCTTTGCATGTCTGGTTTCTTGGACATGAGAGACGGCTTCAGTCACTAACATAACTGAAGCTCTAATAGTGGGTCATCTTTAATGTTCCCCCTCCCCTTCCCTGGGAGTGAGGATGGAGAATCCTTCATTTACTGGTCACAGTCTCCTCTTGGACTGCATGTGGGAAAGGACCCCCCCCCTTTTCAGAAAGGAAAGGGTTTGAATCTCTTCAAGGTTTCAGAGCTATTTTTTTTATAAGCAGTAATGAAGTCCCTACAAATCTCAAGCCTTCTGAACAAAAATCATGAGGTCAATGTGTCATTCTTGAGTCATGGGAAGCATATGTATATCTCTAAGTAAATAAACTTGAGATCCTTGAAATTATATTATAAAGTTACATGTGATTTTATTTATTATAAAAGCTTTAAGTGATTTAGCTGCTTAACGCCCTGTTTTGCTTGGCTTCGTGTTGAACAGTGTTTTGCACGGTGGCCCTTGGTTGCTACCGCTTTTGGTTGGAGGCCTGGAGGCCTTCTCCTCTGGGGTGACGCAGGGGCAATGATGCATGTCTTCCTTTGCCTTGCAGAATGCTCGGCGGTGCGAGTGCAAAGCTGGCTATGTGGGAAATGGAATCCAGTGCCTAGAGGAGGCCATCCCACCCACAGATCGTTGCTTGGAAAACAACGGGCAATGCCACGCTGAGGCTGTTTGCACAGACCTGCATTTACATGGTACCTGTGTTTGCGCCAGTCGTGTAACTTTTAATGACAGCACGGAGGTATCCTTTTCTCAGGGCTGGCCCGACCATGAGGTGGAATGAGAGGGTCACCACAGTCCTGAAGGAGCACCCAATACTTATCCATCTTATTGTGGTTGCATTTTTTTTATTGCCAGGAAAATGGGGGAAACATTTTTGAGATATTCTGTCTCGTGTACCAAAAGAAGCGTGCTGGCCTAGTGCACTGTATTCTTTGACTTGAAGAGTGGAGGTACTTGGTACTGTTTTCCCTCCAAAGCCCTTAACAGCCGGAATAAAGAACACTTCCGCTCTACGCACCATCTTATTCCTGCTAGCTGGTGCAAAGTGCTATATATCCTATAGAACTGCTAAATTCATTAAACAAGCCACGGAAAGCTAAAACTTATTGCCTGCTTCATAAGTCCTTTCAGTTACTCTCACATCTTGATTCTTTTTTCTTTTTTGAGAATGCTATTACCTTTTATTACCATTATTTTATCCTTTTATGCCTTTTATACATGTTTGCATGTGCTTGCATGAGATGCCAGATACTGTTTTATGATTGGTTTAATCTATGTTCTTGGGTATAGCCCGATTCATAGAATTCCTTCCTTTCTTTAGCAGTTATCCAGCTTGATAGGATCTCTTCCTCTGTTCCTCCCATTTATTTTATTTTTATTTTAAAAATTTAATGTTTAAAGATTTAATTTAATGTGAGTGATTGCTTGCTTGCTTGCTTGCTTGCTTGCTTGCTTGCTTGCTTGGTTCTAACGATGTTCACTTTTCTTCTCTTTATCATTTGGATACATTGCATCTTCCCACATTAGATCAGGGGCTATCAACTAAGGTAGTACATTTTCCTTGATCCTATTCCTATATTCCACCCAATACTCTATCAGTCCCCCGTTGCTGTTGTCCCTGACAAAAGGGTTGAAATTCAATAGTAAGTCAAACCTAGAGTAGGCCCATTGGATCAATGGAACTTACAGAGGAATTGACTCACCAAATCTCTGCTGATGCAGAGTTACAAGCCAGTGTGTCAAAACTTGAGCCTCTTTTTTTTTTCTTCAAACTTTCCTGCAGTCAAAATAGGTACGTATTATTAATCAGTCAAATGTCTCCAGCGTACATATTGTTTTTGGATTATAGTACAGGTTTGCAAACAGCTGAAGGAGGAAAATATTGGTGCAGAGGTCCAAATCATTCCTTTGAGACCTGGATCAACATTTATATAGGTTGGGCATCTCTGACCGGAGCTTCATATTATGTTATTTCTCTGAACTACATCTCTCAGCATCCTGAGGCTGTTGGATTCTGGGAGAATTAGTCCAAAGAATTCCAACCCCCCATCTCTATGTCAAACTGCAATTTCCCAGTCAGATCTACGTCTTCAGAAATGATGATTTTAGTGACACTGTATCCTATCTTTTCTGCAGACAAAACTGCTGGAGTCTTCCATTTGCAGTCTCCCAAAGGAAAATACCTCTTAAGCTATGAAGAGGCTGAAGCCGGCTGTACAGCTGAGGGAGCTACTTTGGCCACCCTTCAGCAGCTGTCTGCTGCACAGCAGGTATCAGGGGAGGCTTCCTTGGGGACTTGTCTGGAACTCAACTCCTCTTAGACCAAAACTCTTGTTTGTCTTTGGCTTCTGTCGATAAGCCACGTGTGTGCTTCTGTGGGTTGACCTTTGGCTCCGTTAACTCAAGAAAGCCTCAAATATTCCTCTTAGGGGATTCCCAGCCCCACCAGGGGTCAGTTGCCTCATTCCAGAACAGGGATCTGTTAGGCCCATTGGCTTATTCTGAATGAACCAGCCACAATACTGGTTTCCTCACAGTGAAATTCTGACAATAACATCTGGCACAGCAGCATTGCTGTGGTGCAAATGACATGTCAATGAAATGAAATACTGCCCCCTCCAGGTCCAATGGGGCTTAGCAGCCTCATTGAGGAAAGCAAAAAGAATGTGTAAGAAGAAGGTGAATTGTAATGAGGGAGCCTGTTGAGCAGTGGACAGAGTGGAATATAGGAAGACAACAGAAGCCCTTTAAAAATATTATTTCCTTCTTTCTTTCTCTAGATGGGTTTTCACCGGTGCGTAGTAGGCTGGCTTTATAACTGGACCGCAGGTTACCCAACTGTGTATCCAAGTAAGAAGTGTGGCATTCACCATGTTGGGATTGTGAATTATGGCTTCCGGACTAATATCAGTGAGAGATGGGATGCCTACTGCTACAGAGTACAAGGTAAGACCGTAAATACAAAAATAATGATATTTCAGTAAGTGTGACTCAAACATGATACCTCCATTTCTGCCGGAGGACGAGTCTAAAATCTGATAACCCCAGAACAGAACAGAGAGGTGAAACTAAGCCCAATTCATGCTCATTTGCCTGAATTCTGTTCTATTTATGTTGTTGTTGTTTCAACTTATATACTGTCCCATAGTGTTAAAGCACCCTCTGAGTGATTTACAAAATAATTATGCAAAAAACACTTTTTCCTCCCAGGGAGCTGGGTACTCATTTTCCTAACCCTGGAAGGATGGAAGGCTGAGTCAGCCTTGAGCCAGCTACCATAATCCATTGGGATTGAGTCAGGTTGTGAACAGAGGCTTGACTGCAGTACTGCAGTTCAACCACTATGCCATTGGACTCTGTTTTATATCCTCTGGCTGCATTACAACTCTTTAATATAAGTACAGCTTGTCTGATACGCACTTGCTAACCATTAAAACTGTTGCCTTCTTCCTGTTTCAGATGTACAATGTGACTGTAGGGATGGGTTTATTGGAGATGGCTATACATGCATAGGGAATCTTTTGGCTGTGCTGGGCCATCACGCCAACTTCTCAGTCTACTATTCTGTAAGTGGTTGTTTCACACTTGTGCTGCTGTAGACTAGCGAGGAGTACAGAATGCCTGCTCTTGACTTTCTCCATGTAGTTTTGTGTCTTTGTGGGTCGTGGAAGTTAGCTAGAGAAGAAATTATGCCTTTTATTGGATAACCACCATGAACAGAGATGCTATCCAACTCTGACCCAAATACAACTCTGACCTAGAATATATTTTTCAGTTTAGAGTAAACAGCATTACAGTATACGCTGAGTGTATGTGGACTCCTTTCATGGTTAAAAATACAAAAGGCTTTGAATAAGAGGCAGTCAAGAGGCTAAATCTAGCACTATGCTTGTGGTAGCATTGGGACATCCTGCCTCTCTGTCCCCTTCTCAAAGCACTCCACAGTGCTAAACATATGCTCTGGTAGATCAGAAAACCCTCAGGAGAAGGTTTTTAGGGCACATGGTTATGGGGATCACCTATTTCAGTAGTATGGCTTCTGCTCCATAGACAGCTTTTGGGGGCATTTATTGCTCTACAAATAGTAGAAATAAACATAAGCCATTACATGGCATGAAGTTGATATTTTCAATGTGGGTGATCATGGGAAGGTTGAAATGATTACATTGATGAACAAATGGAACTATGCTTTTTTGTACAGTTGTCTTCATCTTTGTAAGCTCTAATTGCATTGAACATACATAAAAAACAGTCCCATGCCATCAAAAATGTTTTATAAGGAAAAATGAACAAAAGGAGTTTTCTAGCTGATATTTCTAAATGTTGAGGATCATGCCCTTTCTCTGGTCCGTAAGTGGCAGGCACTAGGATTTTGATGGGAAAGATCTAGGACCCATCCTTTGTTGTTGTTTAGTCATTTAGTCATGTTCGACTCTTCGTGACCCCATGGACCAGAGCATGCCAGGCCCTCCTGTCTTCCACTGCCTCCCGGAGTTGTGTCAAATTCATATTGGTTGCTTCGGTGACACTGTCCAACCATCTCATCCTCTGTCGTCCCTTCTCCTCCTGCCTTCATACTTTCCCAACATCAAGGTCTTTTCCAAGGAGTCTTCTCTTCTCATTAGATGGCCAAAGTACTGGAGCCTCAGCTTCAGGATCTGTCCTTTCAGTGAGCACTCAGGGTTGATTTCCTTTAGAATGGATAGGTTTGTTCTCCTTGCAGTCCAGGGGACTCTCAAGAGCCTCCTCCAGCACCACAATTCAAAGGCATCAATTCTTCGGCGGTCAGCTTTCTTGTTGTACTCCTTTTCAATTTTGAACTAATCAGTGTTTCCATATCCAGTTCTAACTGTTGCTTCCGGTCCCACGTATAGGTTTCTCAGGAGATAGATAAGGTGGTCAGGCACTCCCATTTCTTTAAGGACTTGCCATAGTTTGCTGTTGTACTCCTTTCCAATTTTGAACGAATCAGTGTTTCCATATCCAGTTCTAACTGTTGCTTCCGGTCCCACGTATAGGTTTCTCAGGAGATAGATAAGGTGGTCAGGCACTCCCATTTCTTTAAGGACTTGCCATAGTTTGCTGTGATCCACACAGTCAAAGGCTTTTGCATAGTCAATGAAGAAGAAGTAGATGTTTTTCTGGAACTCTCTGGCTTTCTCCATAATCCAGCGCATGTTAGCAATTTGGTCTCTAGTTCCTCTGCCCCTTCGGAATCCAGCTTGTACTTCTGGGAGTTCTCAGTCCACATACTGCTGAAGCTTAACTTGTAGCATTTTGAGCATAACCTTGCTAGCATGTGAAATGAGTGCAATTGTATGGTAGTTTGAGCATTCTTTGGCACTGCCCTTCTTTGGGATTGGGATGTAGACTGATCTTTTCCAGTTCTCTGGCCACTGTTGAGTTTTTCAAACTTGCAGGCATATTGAATGTAGCACCTTAATAATGTCATCTTTTAAGATTTTAAATAGTTCCACTGGAATGCCATCACCTCCACTGGCCTTGTTGTTAGACAAGCTTTCTAAGGCCCACTTGACTGCACTCTCCAGGATGTCTGGCTGATAGAGTAAGGAATCATCCTTACTCCTTCCTTATTATTTTCAAAGCCGAAATCTTGATGCTTTGTTATGTGTGTGGAAGGCAAATGGCCTAAAATTCAGCTGGCAATTATTGAGTCTCCACTCAGATTCCTGAATGCATGCCAAGCCAGCTGGTGCACCTGATAATCCCTGGCAATGGAACCAATTACTTCACAAAGTGACAAGTGCTCCAGCACTGGACATAATAGAAAATTAGACAGACCCTCTTTGATTTGGGTTCCTGCACTGAGCAGGTAGTTGGACTTATTTGCCTTATAGGCCCCTTTTCCAACTCTGTTACTCTATGATTCTGTGATCCAGCAGTGACTTGTTAATTGACATCTGGTATCTGTCTCCTACTCAGAAGCAGGGTACAGTATAGGAATTCCAGTCCATAAACACTGTGATACTTTTGAACAACAACAACAACAGTTTTTGAGTAGTCAATAACCTAGTAGTGTTTTGGTATTATTTTAATAGTATTATGAATCTACTTGCTTTTTTAAACATCTGCAGGGGCCAGCAACATTTTTGCTCCTGCCTGCAAAATAAGTGTACACTTTTTAGGGGATGTTGTAAGAAAAAACCTTGCACTTTTGCCCTTTCTTGTGGGTGCTACTCGGAGATAGATTCTTTGATTAACTCAATGGGCTACATTCATAGTTGGAGGCTAACCATGGGTTTTCTGTCTTTGTTTCAGATGATCCTGGATTACGCCAATGCTACCCAGGAAGGAGCAGATTTTTTTGATTTCCTGCTCACAGACACGACATATAAAACCCTTTTTGCACCCCTGAACTCCGGCTTTGGGGATAACGCTGTAAGAACTGTGGAATGGATAGGGGACTGTAGTGGATTGGTTCCGTACTATGAACTTGAACGGTTTTAATCTTGTTTGCATGGAGGGATGAAGGAATGACTAACAGAACAATGTTACGGCTTATATTGTCAAGAAAAGTGAATGATTGGTGTAGTGTCAAAATACACTAAATCTGGTTCTCCTAAACAAATCAAAATCAGAAGGAGAGATGGAATTTAATATTTATTCTCTAAGTCCCACTGAGGTTTTTAAGTGCTGGAGGGAGGAGACATCTAGAGCCATAGCAATAGCTTCTCTGTGTTTTTGCCAAATCATACGTAGTTGTGAGAGTTCTTTGATTGAAGAAGACCTGACAGCAAAATAACAACGCCAGCATGCTTGCTGTGTTGCCTGTAGAACTCCAAATCAGGAGTTCAGTTTTTAGCTAGACTGCTTTGTACTCTCTACCCAAACAACGTCAGTAGCATAAGGGGGGGCATCTTGTTCCTGTTTGTGCTGCATTTAAATATCACTGATAAGATTTGTCACAGAACAGCTTTGAAAATTATGATCAGAAGAAACCCATGCAGTTGTGCTGCACGGTATTTTCAAAGGCTTCACTAAGGACAGGCCTTTAAAATAATCTTCTGGCTTTAAAAATAACTCTCTTGATGGAAGGGTACCAGAATTTTTTCAGCAGAGAATTGAATAAATCTAGTGTGAGTGTATAAGTTTCCAAATGTGATTTGAATAGATTGTTAAAGGAAAGCAGTAGAGGAAACAAAGGAGAGTGAGACCGACAAGCCCATACAATATGCAAGTACAGTACAGGGTTCCCTGGAGGCCTTTCCAAACAGGGAGAAGAACTTGTAGCCCAGTCTTCTGCACGCAGGTGGGGTTCGTTGGGTGGAGAGCGATGTGGTTATTTTATCACCTTCCATCCACTCCATTCATGAGCCCTTGGTTTGCCAACCATTGGGTAAATGATCTAAACCAATCTTACCTTTATAATAATCAATGGCATTTAAAAAATATTTATATGAAGCTTCATCCACATGTATTAAAAAAATATTCTGCATTCAGTGAATTCTCAGATATTTTCTGACTTCATGGGAATTCCAGTGTATTGAATGTTAGGTTAGGGTTACACGTCCGTACCATGCTATTTCCTGAACCCACTGAAAATTCCCATGTGCCTCCTCCCCATAGAACCGGCAGGTTAAAAATGAGAGTATGACATTTCTGCTCTTCAGAATCATGGTTCTCTGAAAAAAGGCACAGGACATTTTTATCCTCAAACATATAATTTCTGGGGCAAAAAAAAAGAAAAAAGGAAGAGAGAGAGAGTGAGAGAGCACAAAGAATCAGTGACCAAAAGCAGTAGATTCTTTTGGACAACTTTTACATGGCAAGTGGCTGAAATGTGGCCATGTTGTTTCCAATTGAAGTGACAATATCATTAAATGCCTACATTGCAGGTCTAATTAAGTGGGAATTCTGCATCTGGACATGACTCTGGGGAGCTAAAATGTCCCTGTTAACATGGATGAAGGCTAAGGTCGCCCTTTTTCCCTGTAACAAAAGCCCTTTAACCTTCTATGTGGCTCACTGGCTCCAAGTCTATGATCACAGAAATGTCAACAGGGGAACCAGTGTGTTCAGTGTATCTACATGATCAAGATCCATGTTTGTCCAGCCCCCACCCCTTGTTCTATGTGTAGTTGATGGGATTAATATTGAACTGGTGGTTGGGATGTACGTACTTGCTTATTATTTTTCTTTCCTCAGTAAAATAACTGAATAGAATTAAAACTTCTGTTCTCTTTACCAGTCGTTGACACTAAATGACTTGAAGCTTCATGTATCTGTGAGTGATGTGCCCCTCCTGAGTGTCAATCTCACCGCTGGCACCATTATACCTTCCCAAGCAGGATTCAACCTTTCCATTGCAGACTCTGTGAACAACACCCGGCCCCCAGTAAGTATTTATGGACAGGCCTCCCATTATCCCTTTGGACAGTGTTAAAGTTACCAGACAAAAAGGGGCAGCTGTTCCTGCACCTTTGTTATTTGTTCAGAAGAAACATTTTAAGCAGGTGCAGATTTTAAAACACCGGCTTAACTTTCCTCTTCCACACAGCTGTTAGAATTAAAGGAACTCTGCCCTATTTTTCATTTGGTTACCTTGGACGGTGTGCTTTTTTACAAACAAACAAACAAATAAAAACTTTATCATTTTAAATGCATTGAATCATCTTTCTGAGGGATGAAATTTTCAAAATTCTACGACTTCCAGCTCCAGAACCTGCCTAGAATCCATCTAGCAGCCTTCTGGAACTGGGAGACGAGACACAAGAAAGCAAAACAGTTTTTACTTTTTACTTTTATTGGACTTTTACCCCGCCCCCCCAGAAAAAGTCTACTTGAGGCGGCTTACATAAATGATAAAACACAGCAATAAACACACATAATAAAATCCTACTATTTCTATATACATTGCCAAGATGGAGTAAATTAAAAAACAGGAAAAGAGTTAATTAAACTGTTAAAACAGTTGTTTTTCTATCATTACTCATATTGTCTGCTCTATTCCACGTGGACCAACTGCAGAGAAAAAAGGAACAGTCCCTGAGTCCCAGTGCTTGTTGGGTATCACCCAATATTCTGCACCATCAGGAGGATAGTTCAGTGAGAGGCTCCCTCAGAAGGTTTAATGGCTAGCAGGATTACCCTCCCCAGGTTGCACTAAGGTGATTCCTAGCAAGGTGTGGAATAGACAAGACATCCCCTTCTTCTACCCAGCCAATTCACTCAGAATGAAGCACACAATTGCAGTAGAAAAATGCCTCTTTTGCTGTCTTCTTCCACCTCTTCCAGTACCAGATGTCTGCTGAGGGGGTTCCCATTGACATCTAGGCCCGGAAATCGTAGAATTCCACAAATCCTATTCCTAGTTCTTCCTTTGCAGTGAAAATGCAATCCTCAACTGTCTCCTCTTTTGGGGAGAAGATAGGGTATAAATAACTGTAATGAATAAATGGATGAACACAAGTCTGTGTTTTTAATATTTTACAATATAAACAAAATACTGTAACACTGATTTTTGCAGGTTGTGAATCCTGTAAAATCTCCTGCTGCTGTGACCATCGGTGTGAGCACAGTTGCCATAGTGCTGCTATTGATAACTATTGCTGGATTGTCCTATTTCTACCTCAAAAGAACAAACCAAAGATTCCAGTTTCGCTATTTCAAGGTACTTGTATGGTGTATTTACAGGCAAAGGTACAGGATTCTACAGATAAGCTCCTGATTATTGTCATCGGTTTTCATTTGTTACTTTCAAAAGGCCTGGAGATTTTGGCTCCTTCCATATGGCTCATCTGTAAGAAATTTTCTCCATTGATTTCTTGAATCTTCTGGAAGAGACCTCTTGTCTCCCTGCCCCCCCCCACATTGTTCTACTCTGTTTATTTGCACTGATTATTGTAATAATTCATTTTCTCTCTATGTAACTGTCCCTGAAAAGCTGCAGTGGAGATTCTTTTACTTTTTATTTTTCCTTCCTACTTGTCCTTTATAATTTTGATTCTTTCACCATCCATCCAGACTTCTCTTTTTACTACAGGAATTTTTTTTTTTTGCCTTCTTCCCTAATAATATCTCTGGTTTCAATCCACAATTCTTCTGGTTTACAGTAAACTAAGTTTATATCAGAATTTGTTAATTACTCTGCAGTGCCCTTTAATGGACTTATAGTGTATTGCTACTGAATAGTTACTTTTTTTGTTACAACTCATCCATCTGCTTGCCCTGAAGTAATCTCTACCAGGCAGTTCATTGCTGTTCAAACCTCCATGTTATAATCACAACTCAGGTATCTGGAGCTATAACTCTTATATCCTCTGTAAGCATTTCAACATTTTAAAAGACATTTTAGTGCTTGTTCCCCATAAAATTAGCGATCTTGACACCATTCCTTTTGCCTGTCTTCTGCTCACACATGAGGTCACGAAGAGTCGGACACAACTTAACGACTAAACAACAACAAAGCTATAATTACAGAGATTGATAGTGGAATTCTGTGGTCCCTACAGCAGCATCTCAGAAATTATAGGAAAGATCTGAAATCCCAATTTAACAGGGGATAACTCTGATCTCAGAGGAAGAGATGCAGTGTGTGTGTCTTTCTCTCCATCTCTCTCTCACACACAGACACAGACACAGACACACACACACACAGAGAGAGAGAGAGAGCAAATCCATGCTCTCAGTACTCAGAGAAAAGGGGGTGATTGGAGCATGGTGTGTGGGGGCTGGGGGGGGGTAAGAGAGGCTTCCAAACCCTCAACCATGCCCCTAACTCAAGAGTACAATTAGCCCAGCCCTGGAGCTAGTCTTAAGTGATTTCCCTCCCACACTACTCATAGTGATAAGAATGGGTTTTTTTTTAAAAGCATGATTTTAAAAAATCATATAAACAGACAAAACATCCCAGAGGAGAGCAGTAAATGCCATTTTCACAACTCAGGTATCTGGAGCTATAACTCTTATATCCTCTGTAAGCATTTCAACATTTTAAAAGACATTTTAGTGCTTGTTCCCCATAAAATTAGCGATCTTGACACCATTCCTTTTGCCTGTCTTCTGCTCACACATGAGGTCACGAAGAGTCGGACACAACTTAACGACTAAACAACAACAAAGCTATAATTACAGAGATTGATAGTGGAATTCTGTGGTCCCTACAGCAGCATCTCAGAAATTATAGGAAAGATCTGAAATCCCAATTTAACAGGGGATAACTCTGATCTCAGAGGAAGAGATGCAGTGTGTGTGTCTTTCTCTCCATCTCTCTCTCACACACAGACACAGACACAGACACACACACACACAGAGAGAGAGAGAGAGCAAATCCATGCTCTCAGTACTCAGAAAGAAGGGAAAAGTGGGTGATTGGAGCATGGTGTGTGGGGGCGGGGGGGGGGGGAAGAGGGGCTTGCGAGCCCTAAACCCTCAACCATGCCCCTAACTCAAGAGTACAATTAGCCCAGCCCTGGAGCTAGTCTTAAGTGATTTCCCTCCCACACTACTCATAGTGATAAGAATGGGTTTTTTTTTAAAAGCATGATTTTAAAAAATCATATAAACAGACAAAACATCCCAGAGGAGAGCAGTAAATGCCATTTCCCTTCCCTCTGCTAGCCTAATCACAGGAACCTGGACTTGTTGGGAGTGCTCAGACCTTGGCAGAGATGGTGGAAGGTGTAGTCCAGCAGCCTAAAGAGGTCCACAGACAACCCCAAGCCCTCAGATACAATTCAGTTGAGCTCACGTTTTTACCTTTAGGTATAGTAGTTACAGTAACTGTATGAATGTGAGGTCTCTAGCTGAATTCTCATATTAACAATAAAATTTTGTGCCATCAAGTTAATTCTGACTTATGATGACCATTTCCAGGGTTTTCTAGGTACAGTACAGAATACTCTGTGGTTTACCATTCCTTTCTTGGGAGAGGGGCTATCCCGGGACTGTGCAGCCTGCCCAAGGCCACATAGGCTGGCTCTTCTCCCAGGAGGTACAGGGGGGATTTGAACTCCAAACCTCTGATTCCCCAGCCAGATATCTAACTCACTAAATACATGGTTTAATCTTTTTGCATATAGGCTGAACTAGAGGATGAAGAGCCTTCTTCCTGGGAAGAAAGGAGCCCAAACTTGGTCTCTATTCCAAACCCCATTTACGGAGCAGACAGCTCCATCTATGACCCATTTGAGGTGAGACTTTGGATCTTCTTCTTGAGAGAAATATATTTGCAAAGTGTAGCTGAGTTCCATTAAAACTTAGGAAAGCAGGGATTTTTCAAATATCAGTTATGTACCTTTTGTTATCTATTTGGAATTACAACTGGTTCCTGCACAAATCTCTTTCTTTCTTGAATCCACTCAGTTTATTAGACACCTTGTCTGCCAGGCAACCCCCAAATAAGCTGGCCTGAAACATGCATTACCATTTACTTTCTTTCCAACTAAAAAACTGAAACATTTGCTCAGTAACTTCATAATAACAATAATCATGTGCTGCCAAGCCAATTCTGACTTATGTGACCCTTTTCAGAGCAAAGGTAAAAAAGTAAGGGCAGAAACAAGCATTAGTAAATATTCCAAGTTGCTGCAATTTAAATTTAACAAATGGTTACTAAGCAGATAAACAAAAGGCAACGTTTTTATCCCTTCAAGTTATTACACTGAAAACAGAACAAGCAAATGAGCACTTTTCCATTAATCTTACAAATCACAAACTGACATGAAAAAGAATTAAGCTTCCTGACACAGGATAATCAGATGGCCTTCAGTAGAACAGTTAAAATGGTTCAGTTAATCCTATTTGGGCCCTCAAAACTGATTGCATTGGTGATCCATATAAACATAAGGCTTAAATGATTCTTACTAATAAACCTGTACCCGTATATGTCCATAGGCACTGCATATTCTATGTGTCATCTCTGTTAGTGTGCAGATTTTGTAAGGGTCATTGCCAGATTTTGTACAGTCACTTGTATTACAAAGATCACAGAACTCTAGTTTAAAGGTCACTTTTGGATCAATTGCCTTAATGTATGTTTCCACCTTGGTTTCAGGATTCTCTGCATAGAGATGATTTTTCCGATACCCATGGGATTCTTGGACATTATTGAGCCACGTAAGCAGGAAAACATCTTCGTTGTATAGAAGAAGCAGGATGTGATCTTGCTTCTGGTAAACCTCTATGACTGCCTTACCAATGCTGACAATTTAACAGGTCACTTTTGGATTAAGTGCAGAAGCTAACAGATACCTCAATTCTATTCCTCCTCTTACAATTATGTGCAGGGAATCAGGCTTCAAAGAGCCCTTTGGACTTGTATGCGTGCAGAGACTTTGACAATTTTCTGTTCCAAAAGTAGCCCTCTCTTGCTGTCTTGACTGCTACTTTGAAGGGTCCTTTGGCCTTCGGGAATGGCTTTTTGGGTGGCCTTGCAGTAGGAAAGGAAGGAATCTGAGAAGTCATGTTGCAGGTACAGGATCCCTGAATTTTGCCCATGAAACAGGTTAGGAAATACCATGACTTGTGAATGTGTTTGATCAGTGGAGAATCTTCAGTGGGCCATTTACAACTACATTCTGTTCAGTGGGCGGGTGCACTATTGCGCCTTCTAGTTATACCTTTTTCATACATTAACACTGCATAGTTTGAAGCACTACTGCCCCAAACAAAAAGAGTATCCAGGTTATAATCTACTGAATTTTATGTATCACACAAGTCTTCTAAACCTTAATCAAGTCTCTAATTTATCTGAAGAAGTAGGTACCGTATTTTTCGCACCATAAGACACACTTTTTTCCCACAAAACAGGGGGGTGGAATGTCTGTGCGTCTTATGGAGTGAAGAAAACAGATTATATTTCCCTGTTTTCTTCTCCTAAAAAATTGGTGTGTCTTATGGAAAGGTGCGTCTTATGGAGCGAAAAATACGGGTAAGTGTGTTACTGTGAGGGCATGTAACATGGAAAATATGTGCTTTACCTTATAATTAAATACTGATTGTGTGATTTATATTTCTTTTCTCCTCCCTCCACATAAGACAAGACAACATGAATATTTTGTCTATTCTATAGTGAAATACTTTATTTTTGTAAAAATAGCATATGATGTTCCACATAGTAACCCAACAGAAGTAACATTCCATACTTTCAATGTCATTCAGAAATAAAAATTCTATATAGTATGTTTAATGACTGATTACTTTGTGTCCAAGCGGATGAAACAAGTATGAATAGCTGCACACACCACTGTGGAATACACAACACACATTCTTCATGAACCAGGTTTAACTTTCCCCAAAATTATCGAACTATTATTCTATTTACTCACAATCTCTGGTTTTCAAATTGCCTGCATTGGACAGAGCAGCCTACTTACAAGAGAAGGATAATCCTATCTGAGCACCTCACAATTAAGGACCATAATCTGAGCTTCAAATACAATAGAAACAAATTGTTATAGTAGCACAAGAGTGTAAGATTGTGGTCAATGTGCCATTTAACTATTAGCATAGTAGATTTAATAATATTAGCAATACTGTACATGAGAACAAAAGTGATTGTTCTCAGTTCTCAGTTTTATGTAAGCTTCCTTTTTAAGGTAATATAACAATTGATATTTGAAAGCTAGTCCAGAGACGGGTTTGAGAAAAGAATAAGACAAACTGGGCAACATTATAATCCTATCCAGTTTGGTACATTTAAAACTGATCCTTTTACTGAGCAATTACGTGATGTGAAGCTTTGTTCATGCTAAGTGAACTTTGAATTTGTGGGATAATAGTTTTAAGACATTAAAAAACATATCCTTTAGGTGATATGATTTTTCCCCCAGGACCGAACTACATCTTTCAGGCAAACACAGATTTCCCATAGAGCAAAGTAGTTATAGAAAGGGATGTATAAGATGTTCCTTACCCATAAACTCCTTTTAGTAACTCTTGTATCGTCCCATTTAAAAAAGGATGGAACAGATGAGAATCAGCAGTCATGGGAAGGGCCCAAACAATTTTCTGCTGTAAATTTCTTCGGCAAATGCAGATATGGAACCATAGTTTTATGAGGGAATTAGTATTTATTGGCCAAAATCCTATTGTTTAGTAGTGGAATAAACCACACTAGAGTAGGCCTGTTGAATCAATGGGGATTTGATTAATCATCTCTCCTGTATGTTCCACAGTGACACATGCCTTAGTTACATCTGGACTGGATTATTGTAACGTGCCCTATGTGGGACTGCCTTTGGAAAGTGTTCAGAAACTCCAGAGGATCCAAAATGCAGCAGCCGGATTGCTGATTGGGGCTGGTTAAAGATGTCATGTGACTGTCGTATTACAGCAGCTCCACTGGCTGCTGATCCGTTTCCGGGCAAAATTCAAAATGTTGGTTTTAACCTATAAAACCCTATAAATGGCTTTGGTCCAAGCTATCTAAAAGACCCCATCTCCTTCAATGGGCTTTGAGATCATTGGGGAGGCCCTTCTTTCAGTCCCACAACCCTAACAGGTGACCTTGGTAGGGACACAGGAGAGGGCCTTCTCTGTTGTTGCTCCCAGACTCTGGAACTCCCTCCGATAGGAAGCTAGGCTGGCCCCATCATTGCTGTCCTTCCGCAAGCAGGCAAAGGCCTTTCTCTTAAGGCAGGTTTTCTCTTAATAACTAATGGTCTGAGAGGGTTTTTTTAAATGAATGGCTGTGCTCTGTTGTTTTAAATGTGTTTTAGTATTGATTTTATTACTGTTTTTAATGTAATACTTGTTTAACACTTTTAAAAAATATTTGTATACAGTGGTGCCCCGCATGACAATGATAATCCATCTCATTGACATTGCTGTTTAGCGAAATCATCGTCTTGCGAAAACCGTTTCCCCACTGGAATGCATTGAAACCCGTTTAATGCATTCCAAAAGGGGAAAAATCGTCGCCGTTTTGTGAAATTGCCCATAGGGCAGCCATTCTGTGAAGCGCCAATCAGCTGTTAAAATGGCTGTCCTGCAAAGCATGGGTCCCGAAAACATAGGGAAGCCATTTTGCGAAGCCACCAATCAGCTATAAAAATCGTCTTGCAAAAAAATGGTCCAAGAAGCATGGACCAAATCATCGTCCAGCGAAAATTGCCCATTGGAATCACTGTTTTGCAAATCGCTATAGTGATCGCAAAACCTCATTGTCATGTGGATTCGTCATTTTGCAAGGTTGTCGTCTAGCGAGGCACCAATGTACCTACTATTTTTAGCTTCTCTGTATTGTCTTTTTAATGATGTAATCCACCCTGGGTTCTTTTTAAAGAGAAAGGCAGAATAAAAATATTTTAAATAAATAAATGCTCTAGCGCTATTTAAGCAACACTATTCTGGCCACTCTATAACTTAGTTTTGCAATTGCAAAACTAAGATATAGAGCGCCTGCACAATAATGAAGTACAGTGGTGCCCCGCTTGACAATGATAATGTGTTCCAGCAAAATCGCTGTTAAGCAAAATCGTCGTCAAGTGAAAAAAAATCCCCATTGAAATGCACTGAAAACCTGTCAATGTATTCCAATGGGGGAAATACCTCATCGTCCAGTGAAGATTGCCCATAGAGAACTGCTGATCAACTGTTAAAAATCGCTGTAATGCGAAGCTTCTGTCTGGAAAGCAGCTATTTTGAGAAGGGAGGGAAGCCATTTTGCGGAACCGGAAAGCAGCCATTTTGAGAAGGGAGGGAAGCCATTTCGCGGAGCCGCAAAAACAGGCTCCTAATCAATGTAAAGTGGATTTCCCCCGTTGGAACCATCGTTTTGCGATCGCAATAGTGATTGCAAAAATGTCATTGTCAAGCGATTTTGACGTCATGCAGGGTAAACGTCTAGCCGGGCACCACTGTATTTTTATGTTACAAAGGTCGGCAGCATTGTGTGCTATGCTGTTGTTCTGCACCACACTGGTCCTCCTGTACCCATGAGCCTTTCCCAAGCCTTGGCTCTACAAAAGGAGCCTGTACGGTCTGGTACTCTGGGAGAAATCTGGCACTGTATGTAAATGACCAAGCAGAAGAAATAGCTTGCTAGGGTGTGTGTGTGTCTGTGTGTCAACCTCTGGCTCTGTAGCCAAAGGCCTAATTCACTGAGCTATCCACCTAGCTTATAATAAACTAAATAGAACACAAAAGTCTGGTTTCTCAGACTTAAACATCGACATGGAACAAAATATACACAAACAACTATTAATCTGACCCCCATCATAAATCACAAATTATGGCCACAGCAACTACTACAATCTGGCAGTGAGGTTTCTTTGGCATCGCAGGAGAATGTCCAAGCGTTCTTCAGCTGATTGACTGAACCGTGTATGTGCTTAGGGGAACGCAGTGTTCAGCTCTGAGTGGCAGTGTGCCGTCTTTCATGAGAACAACATTTCTGAGTAAGATTGTTTTAATGATGATTTGGATTATTCATCAGATTTTAACCAGACTGAAATATTAAATAAGCCTCATCTCAGCTTATTGTGGGATATGTAAGAGCTCCCTAAGGCTAGCCGAAATGGAGCTTGGCAGTGCTCTGAGGAAAGAGAGCTCTGCAGCTAGTAGGTGGCCCAGTGGCTTTCAGGGTGCGCTTGGGAAAATATACTAACTGGGTGTTTGCGGTTCAGCATCAGAGGGAGAAGGCAGTTGAGGGAAGAGAACAAGGCCACAGCTAGTTTAGGCTTAAAATGTAAACCTTCTGTAAGTAAATTAGCTTCAAGTGAGCTTAGAAGACAACAGTAAGCAAGTACGAACACTGCAGTAACGATTCACATGGTCTGGGCTCACCACGGGTGGGAGGCTGTTTTTGTGGTAGCAGAGGGAGGCTGGCTGAATGTATCAGAGGCAGACCTGATAGCACAGAAAGTACCACCGCTAGCCACAGATACAGGGGGACTAACTAGGGCAAGACTGAGCCCTATGCCGAGATCTTCCTGCACACAGCGCTGAGGGGTGGAAAATGTCAAGTTAATATATAACATTTAGCCATTTCATCTTGGATGCTTTACAATAATAATGAGATAGAAATATGAAAATGAACAGCTGAGAAAACATTTATTTCAACCAAAGCTATACTGATACCATTACAGATACTAATACATAGTGATGAAAAACAGTTTTTAGAAGTAAGGCTGGCTTACCCATGTGTACCCATCACTCAGTTACATGCAGAGTTAAGAGAAGCTCTTAACACATGTCAACATGTGTTATGTCCAACCGTGCTTTCACTGGGCAGTGCTACTTTAAGTCTTTGGGTGCAATCCTGTGGAACATGTGAACCAGCCCAAAACCAAGCAAAAATGCAGGCAGACTGATGTGAAACTGCATTAAGTTTTGAACAGCAGCCAGAATTCTGTGAGGTGAGAAACTTAGCAGGATGCAGAAGGGTAAAATAAGATGAGAATGGGACCTATTAGTAAATCAACTTTACATTCAGAGTTACTGTTTGCTCTTTATTGCATCCCACCTGATTCTTCTAAAAAAAGCAAATTACTGTAGTACACTGAAAGCCTCATTAAATGTTTAGTACCTGTGTACTGAAAATCTTGTTAAGTGTTAATCAATCCCACTATGAGTTGATTGAAACATAATTTTATTACTTTTTTCCAGTAATTTTGGTTATTTTAGTTGATGCACCAGAGCCTGGTGGTCAAGGATGATGACCACAATCTAAATTTTGGAGGTACTCCTAGTACTGTACATGGTTAACAGATTTATCGTACATCTGCTTGTGTTATCACACGTGAATACTCCTAAATGTGAAGTCCCTGGGCAGACATGGCCAACTAGCCCAAAGGGTGTGCACAAATTTGGGAAATACTAGTTGTTTTCGTTTATGTTTCCAAAGTGCCTGAAGCCTAGAGTTGCACAGGTTGGGAAGAATTTCAATGAACAAGGAACTTCAATAGACATTTTTTTTCATTTGGGGCGGAGAAAAAAAATTCTGATCCAACCTTGATTATTCCTGATCAGTGAAGGAATTCAAAAAAGCATAATTCAGCTTCGATATCTGCTTGCTGAGAAGCAAAGTGCTGCCAGTGGTCACACAGTAACCAAGTTGCAAACCCTTAAGAAGCATCTGGGGGGAAGGCAGAGGAGGGAGCTTCTCAAACATACTGTATGTTGTTCCAACTGAAGACCACGGGGCACTTTTTACCGGATATGCACCATTTCTTCCAAGAACGGTGTCTTCATGCAGCCAGTACAGAGCTGATCCATCCAGAGGGGGGCTTCATGTTGCAGAGGGGTTCGCCGAGGATAGAAAGTGAAGTTCACATCGTAGTTCAGCAGGCAACTTATGGATGCCATATAGATGTCAGAGAAGCGAATCAGTCTTCGGGAAAAGTAGGTTGGATTGTGGAAGGTTCGAAATATGCTTCCAAACTGGGGGTTAAACAGGTTCTTGGCAAGTGACCTGAAAGAAGAGGATTTGGGTATTAAGCACTGGGACATGGAATATACTGAGGATGAAGCATGAGATGTGTGTATTACCATTTGCTTCTGAAGCTACTCCCTGAGAATGCCAAAGTTTTGGATAGTAATTTTGCCAATGTAAACGAGAACTTGGCACCCTCTTTTAAAGAAGCTTAAAACAAGGGTGGGAAACGTATGAAACAATCAAATGAACTGCAGAGAATCTGGGGACCATATGTCTTCTTTGCCACACATCCCAGAATCTGAAGGCAAGCCCAGCCTCTATGGGTGAAACTAGAATTCCAGTTTCTTTGGTTTCTGTGTGTGTCTGACCACAGTGAAGCTTCAACCTATTCTCCACTTGTCCAAACTTATCAAAAACGCAACAAAGCAAACTGCTGGGTTTAAGGAGGAACAATATCCAATGAGAAAGGATGGATTTCTTGCAGTATGAAAATGCTTTGCTAAATACACGCTGTTCTAGATTACTGATAACTGCGTCCTATTTAATTTGAAACAAATTTGTGTTTGCACTTTATAAAATATTTCTCCAAACTCTTCTGGCAATCTAAAGGAGGGGGAGGGGGAGAGCAAAGCGTGATCATGGGTCACCTAATTTCCTGTCGCTCCTTCATCCACTCGAGCAGCACCTGTTTAGATTCTGTATCTTGATACATCTGAAATTAAAATGGTCAAAATTACAAAAAAAGCATACAACCACCGTGATTTCATTTTAAAGTGACCTTTCCAAATGTCTACCAAGAGAAATATAGGTGCTGATACTAGTCTGTAACAAAGACATCAAACTAGATTACTGATAACTGTGTCCTATTTAATTCGAAACAAATTTGTGTTTGCACTTCATAAAATATTTCTCCAAACTCTTCTGGCAATCTAAAGGAGGGGGAGGGGGAGAGCAAAGCGTGATCATGAGTCACCTAATTTCCTGTCGCTCCTTCATCCACTCGAGCAGCACCTGTTTAGATTCTGCATCTTGATACATCTGAAATTAAAATGGTCAAAATTACAAAAAAGCATAGAACCACCGTGATTTCATTTTAAAGTGACCTTTCCAAATGTCTACCAAGAGAAATATAGGTGCTGATACTAGTCTGTAACAAAGACATCAAACTGGCTGATGGCCCCTTGAAGGTGAACATGTCTTATCTGGCCTACCCTCTCATGGCTAGCAGCACAACTCTTCAGCTATGTCTGATGGAGACAAACTGCTGCCCACACAAGCTTATCATAATACCTGTTAACATGAAAGGACTACAAGGCGCTTTGTTACTTTTGCTTCAACAGGATAACACAGCTCTGCCTCTGGAAATTCCTTAAGGCAACTGCAGGGTGGTGTTTTTTAACCCCAAGTTATTATTAACAGACACAGATAAAAAAGGACAAACAAGAACATGCAGCCAGTGTATTTGCTGAGCTTAAGATAATGAAAAGCCTAACTGCATCTATATGGCCCAGACGAATGACCTAGACTCTAAAGAGTTTCAGGTTTGGAAAGGGACTAAACAGGGGTGCCCTCTCGCCCCTTCTGTTCACTCTGATAGAATTTTTAGCTTCACATATAACGAAGAAAGGGAGCATTCAGAGGATGCATGTTAGAAGCTCAACTCACATCTCCAGCTCAAATGCTGAAGAAATGATACCAACGGTAAGCAATCCTATAAAAGAGATCCCCTGTATATTAAAGGAATCAGAGGAATTTTCTGAGACTGCAGAACTCCAAGTGAAATTTAGCAAATTGGCTTTAAATGTGCTTTAATATATCCCCTTCAATACAAATTTTAATTTCTCACAAGTTCAAAGCTGCACTTACAAAAAAAAAAGGCTTTAAATATTTAGGAATCTTCATAGCTGAAAATTCTGCTACTTTTGTCAGATCCAGGTACGCAGGTTTTGGGGAAAAAATTGAACTAGGTATGAGAGATGGGATAAATATAGCCTATCACTATCAAAACATACTGTTTCAATTAAGATGATGATTTTACCCCATTTCATCTATCTTTTTTGTGTCAATAAAAATTATTTTCAATGAGACTGCAGTGAATATAGTCCAACAATGGCATCTGACCCCAATTTGGCTCTTACATATCAACCCTGCAATGTCAACTAGGTGTTGGAGAGGCTGCAAATGTAAGAGATCATTTACACACCTTGGGAGATTTTGCAAAAAAAAGCAGAACAGTTTTAGAAAAGAGGTGTTTAATAAAACAAACAAAATTACAAATCAGTCAATTACTAAATCCCCGGGAACTAGCACTTTTTATCCTTATCTTAGTGGAGAGTGAGTCAATTTTACACAAACCTTTAAGAGACCATCTTCTGGTAGCTGTGAAACAGACTGCAGTTAAAAGATAGAAGAACATGCAGTGGGTATCAATCACAACATGCACTGCAAGAAAAACTACCCACCAAAATTCTTGCAACAGGTTGAAACCATTTAATTGTTTATATGAATAGAACAGACAATAAGGTTCTCCTTGAAGCATACAGGATTGATTTATTTATATTTATTTATTTATTGGACTTATATACCGCCCCATAGCGCTAGAAGCACTCTCCAGGCGGTTTACAATTTTTAATTATACAGGCTACACATTGCCCCCCCAGCAAGCTGGGTACTCATTTTACCGACCTCGGAAGGATGGAAGGCTGAGTCAACCTTGAGCCGGCTACCTGGGATTTGAACCCCAGGTCGTGAGCACAGTTTTAGCTTGATCCATTATTGATTGATCCACTATTCTGGGTGGGTTACCAGAAGGTTAAAACCAATATCAAAAACAAACACTTAAAAACGCTCACAGTTTTGGTGCATAATGGCACCAAAACAAGTTACAAACGCATCAGAACAGGAGATAAGCAAGATATCAACCCAGGTCAGTATAAAAAGTCTCCCTAAAGGTCTTAAGTTTTCATTTAAATGTCAGAAGGGAGGAACACAGGCATAGCTCCTCCTGAAGCTGATTCCACCAGGTTGGGGTCACCACAAAGAAGACCCTGTCTCTAGTGGAAGACTTTTGGGTCTCCCTTGGGGTGGCTGTCCAGAGGAGCCTGGTTTGAGATGATCTGGTGGGTCGGGTAAATGACATTGGGCTCAGACACTCTAACAAGTAATGTGGTTCAAAACCATGGAGCATTTTGTATGCCAGAGTCAAAACCTTGAACCTAATCTGGGACATAACGGATAACCAGCGCAGGTGTGCCAGAACTGGAGAGATATGCTCATATTATATTATAACACACTTGGAATATAACTACGACTCTGCCACAGGGGATAGAGAAGGAAATATATGAATTAATATATTGATAAGTATTATTAATATTGTCCTTGTTAATATTGTTAATTTAAAAAAATATTTAAAAAGTCTAACTATAACAATATGAAGGTGCACTATTTTGTTATCTATTCCATTGCTAAGTTTGGCCTATAAACATAATGTGGTCTAGTCTACCTGCATTCTCTCCAGAAGTCCTGTAAGAGCCTGCTGCCAAGTCAAGGAGTGCATGTATTGTTCCGTATTAATGATCCGGATTTCTGTTTCTAATTCTGGAACAATGGCTCCAGTCCTCCAACCATGGCGCAGCATGAGATCCTAAAAATTAAAAAAGTGGGAGAGAGGCAGCAGAGTAGCTTAATAGCATCAAATGTTCTAATGGAAGCAATAATGAAATTTACTACTCTATATACAAACAGAACCTTCTCCCTGTGTATATCGCATTTACAGCCAATATACAGTATATGTAATGCTTTTTTTTAGTTTGAATCGGGAGAGGATGAGAGGGAACCAACTACGCAAAGGGATATGAGCACACTCCAAAATTGCAGAATTAAAACCATAAGACTGGATGTGTTCCAGAAAGACACAGTACTGACAAATGAAGTGGAAGAAGTAATGAAGCCCTCCTTAAATGCTGGTAGCAGGCAGAGAACATTAAGCAACCCTGATCTGATCAGAAGCGGGGAGAGTTCCAGGATGAACTTACTGCAAGGTCACTGTACAAATGGTCACCAAAATAAAGGACCTTGGATCCACGCCAGCCTGTTAGCCGCAAAAAATCAAACAGATTGCCCTGAAATGGAGGGAGGAAAAAGGAATGTGAGAGCATCCAATTTCTTTTTTGCAAGGAAAAACATAACACGCCTTTCTTGAAAAGGTCAAAAAATAAGTCTCTCGGTACTCTGATTTTTCTATTGAGCTAGGAAAACAAAGGAAAAACATTTGTTCCTGGGTAAGCTGCTTATTTGAAAAATTCCATGGTTTGAAGCTTAAGGAGTTCTCATGGGAACTTTTGTCAAATTGAAGGAAATGGGGATTTCTGAAAGTCTGTTTTATAATCTGATCTCTTGTGCAAATTCATATTTTTTCCCCTTGAGGTCATAATGAGTAACATTCATATCTCATTCACCTTCACTATAAAGCTGGAGAACTGCAAATAAAGTGATTTGTTACTCACTACATTTATGCTGGATGGCAATTTTAATCTTGATGTTCTGGGTCTAATTCTAGCATGCTATCCTTCCAGATCTCTCAGAATAGCTAGCTTTCTTGTTAAGGCTTAGATATTCTTCTGATGGGGGTGGGAGAAAGGGCACCTACAATGAGTTGATTTTGCATACATAACCACTGTGCATGTTTTCACCAGACCTGTCCTTGGGAATCCTAGCAGTATAAGCCGCAGTGCTAACTGGTCCCCATTTATCATTTAGTTTATGAGGCTGGGATCAGTTAATTACTGCTCTTTGCAGGAGAAAGTGTGTTTCCAAACAAATCGTGTGGCTGTTGCGGGGTTTTCAAGCTCTTTGGCCGTGTTCTGAAGCTTGTTCTTCCTGACGTTTTGCCAGTCTCTGTGGCCGACATCTTCAGAGGACAGCAACCTGTACTCTGGCGTAGTTGGCTTGGGAGTGGGAGTATTTATGGCTGTGAGATAGGCTTTTGTCCTAATCATGACAAAATCAAAGTCCTGTAGTCTGCAACATACATCCAAACTCAAATCGCTTATATTCATGTGAGATTAATAATATTTTCTGCTGTTGAAAAGGCATGCTCTGGAAAACTTTCCTAATAGCGGCATCTCTTCTATCAAGAGAGAAACTTACAATCAACCATGCACCTCATTTTCTCATTATTCCAACGATTCAGTTCTTATGCTGAAGTTGGTCAGACTTTATTTTGCTGATTTCTAAGGCCAAAGTCTTGCAAACAACAACAACAACCCAACATTTGGAGCAACATCTGGGGTGAGGGGGGAGAAGGAGAGGGGCTATAGGCCAAAATAATTTGCCAACTGGGAATTTTCTATACACGTAGCACATATATCAAGTACATATGACAAAAATTCACAAAGTCTTTCCTATATCCACACAGATCATTGTAGATTCTTAAAAATTTCACTGGCAGGTTCAACAAAAATTATCTTCTAGCTTCCTCTTTACAAGCTTTTAAAGACAATGCTTGCTTTGGTTCTAGACTGCACGAACCACACTTCTACAGGGCAGAGGAACCTAGAAAACTATAATGTGAGCATTACCTGCTTATAGATTTTTCCTTTCTCCAGTTTGCTTATTTTGTCCCAATGAAGAGAACCTTCTTCATCCACTTTTCTAAATGGTCTGCAAGAAGTCGTAGAACCAATGTGAGAGGCCTGCAAGTCCTTAGTATATCTTAATGCAAAAACTTTAAGATTACTCATGAGAAAGATTTCACATGAATGGCTTTAGCTGATGAGCACAATGCCAACAAAACAGAATTCTGAAGATTGATGGTGAAGTCGTGCTGAAATCATCTGAGCTTACTATGAGAATTTATCAGACACGAGTTAATCCCAGCAAGCAAGAGAACAGAAATGGACCTCTTTATAAGATAAATACCAATCCACACTTTAAATTTTACCCTCTAAAAGGAAATGCAAAAGACACATTTGCCACCATGGTGATCACTACATGTTTAAATGCAGTATACCGATGAAAAAATTCTCCTGGTCAAAAATGTTTTGTCATTTTCTTCCTCTTCCCTCCAGAGCAGGTTTTGGGGGCACATGGAGGCTGCAAAGGGAAGAGATGCTCCTCATCCCATCCTGCTCTGCAGCTCTGCCACCAGAGGCGCCCTATAGAAAGCCGCTCCTAACGCCATCAACGTACTTGCGTCTGTCGGTGAAGAAGTTAGGCTTATCCGCTTGCACAATGATCATGTCAAAAAGATCTCGCCAGTTTTTGCCAACCATGTACTTCATTCCTTTATCACTGCAGAGAAAATGGAGGGGGGGAATGGGAAATTTACATCACCTACAAATTCCTGCTCTCAAGAAAATGCAGCAGAAAATCACAAGCATTTGAGCGTGCTTCTACTCCCAAAGAAAGGACAGGAAAAGCCTATATAAAGCTAACTTATAAACGTAGAAACATTCTAATGCAATGAGCAGGTGTATCAGAATATATGAGTGTGTGACCCTTGTTAAAGTAAATTACAATATAGAACTAGAAGGTAGGAAGCAGGATTATTATACTGATGGAAGCTCCTCCCACCATCATGGTTCTACAATAGGATACAATAACAATTCTTTTGCAAAGCCCATTCTTGCAAAATATAAGAAACATAATTTGAACTGTCATTACAGATTGACCACTCTCACACTTGTTACGTAATATGAGGAATTATTTCATTAAAATGTATGTATAAGAGATGATACTTACACAAAGGTAAAGGGACTATTTGTAATAAGGAAGAGTTTTTTGTTGTGGTTAACCAGCCGATTTAGGACGGTGTATGTTTCATCTCCATGAAGAATGTATTTTTCTGTTAAAACACAGAATGAAGCTAAGCATAATGGAGAAGGTTGTATAACAGAACAGAAAAGAGTAGCATCTGGATAAGGTACTGCCTGGTTGCGCAGAACAACCAAGTCCATGCTTTGGTGAGCAAATTTACAAGGGGACCCTGAACAAACCCTAACCGTTCTCCTTGGACTCACCCCTTCTAAAAATACAGCCCTGACAAGCATCTCTCACTGGAGTCAACAGAGGTGGATTTTCATGTGCAACTTTTGTAGTAAGGAGAGATGCGAGTCATGCAGATAGGAAGGAAGGATTAAACCTCCCTCACCCCATGCTACATTTTGCCCTCCCAAATCATCCTTGTAATTAACTGCATTGTAATTAGACTTTAAAGAAAGACTCCTATTAAAACCAACGGGAGGCTTTTCCCAAGCTAACTGTTGTGTGGGACTGGTGATCTTTGTAGGGAGGGGAACGTGTGTTGATATGGCCCCAACGAGCAGCTGCCATGCAAGCCTTAGGAACAGAGACATTCCCCTCCCCGATCTTGTGCCATTAGATGCCAGACCATGCTCATTACTCTTCAAAATTCTCCAAGTCAAGACTTTAACTGACCCATGTCCTTTTCAATCCATTTGTACATCATTCCTTTCACATGGACATCTTTAATGGCATCCTAAAATGGGAAAGAGTAGATACTTATTACTCTTAAACTTGGTATTGCATGGTATACGGCACCATCAATGGATATGACACTTTACACAGGAAAGGACGTGACATGGGATGCAGGAGGTCTGTGTGATTGTTCCTGTGTCATATTCTCCATGGATTTACTGGCCGCCTTATTCTCTCTGGGCATTTTTGGTGGCTCCTCCCTGGTTGCAAGAACCCCTTTCTGATGTTTTGAGAACTGATCAGGTCACCCAGGAAGAGGCCTTTAGTGAGGCAATACAGTACTCCTCTGCTTTTACCCTCTTAATGATTTATTTTAAAAATTGTATTAAAATATTTGGTGCTGACTTTAATATGATCATATGCCTAAATCAGATTTAAAATTTTAATTTGTTATACTTTTAGCTATATCTTTTTAAAACTATTTTGTACGATTTTGTAAGCTGCCTTGGGTCTTTATATTGAAAGGCAACGTAACAAATAAATAAATAACATCAGAGTCATCTGAACTGGCACCCACCACATCTTGCAAAGTTCCTCAGTTTAAGAATGTATTTTATGAAGTTTTTTTGTTGTTTATTCAGAGTTTTCCACGGTCCAGCTTCATGGAGGGGGCACTGTGATTCTACTACTGTGAGAGAGCGAAAAGTACTTTTCTGTCCATTTCCCCACATCCTAACAACAACTTCTCTCATGTCTTCCTTTATCTGCCTTTATAAATCTACATGCCCTAAATATTGTAAACTGTTCCTCATAAGGAAGCTGCTCCAGCTACTGATCACTTGGGGCTCTGCCTCTTTTCCACCTCTACAATACCCGGTTCAGAGATATAATGACCAGAATGGTATGCTGGATTCCAAATGGTCAAACCACAGATCTGTAGAAATCTATTACAATATTGGCAGCCTCGAATTTCCCTTAATATCGACCTTTTGATAAACACACAGTGTGTCTACGTTTCCTCATTTGCATGAAGAGATTCTAAATATTTATGTATTTATTTAACTTATATGCCCCCACACTACCAGAAGGTCTCTGGGCGGCTTACAACATTTAAAATACAATAAAAAGGCAAAATAATTAAAATGCAATTACAATATATATACTCTAAAAATTGCCATCGTACCCACAGCTGGTATTATTTCAATTAAAAGCCTTCTGGAATACTTGGAGAAGCATCTACATCAGTGGTTCTTAACCTTTGTTACTGAGATATGGTGGTGAAGGCTTCTGGGAGTTGCAGTCCAAAACTCCTGAGTAACCCAAGGTTAAGAACCAGTGATCTACATTACTGTGGAAGTTCTCGTAAATGCTAGCAGCTGCCCATAAGCAGCATGGATTAATCCAAAGAACTAAGATAGGACAAAAACCTAAGTGCCTATATTGGATCTCTGTGGTCAGAAAAAATTATTCTTGGAATTCAAAAGGTTGAAGTGGATTGCTTGAATCCAGCAACTTACTCCTGTAATTTATCACAACCTACACAGTTGCTTAGCATCATTAGATTGGTCAGTCCATGGCGCATTGGAAAATAACTTAAAGGGGAAACCATGAAGCAAGTAAAAAGAAATCCTCTAAAATTCTAATTAGAGGATGAAATATTCACACACACAGTTAAGAGAACAAGAAAAAATCTGCCTTCTTTAAAAACAGAGAATGGGATCTAGATTTTTTTTACTTATCCTTGCGTTATGAAAAAATTATATACGAATCAGAAAACAATTCAAAAGGGGTTATTAAAATTATACTCACACTGATATCCTTGTAAAGATGAACTTGATCATACTCAATATTGTGAGTCATGAAATAGTCAGTCACTGATGAAAGCAAAGTCATTTCAGGAAGCGAGAAGATATCCATAAACTGTTTAATTGATGGGCCCTGCCCAAAAGAAGAAGTGTACTATTACAAAAACAAACTACGTAGGATCTCAGTAGTAGGGAGACTGATACAGTATTTTAAAAATAATGCATGTAGGAAGCGAGAGGCTGGAATCAATGTCCCGTTTTTCAGCTGAAAACAGTACCACCCCAGCCAAATATAGTAAAACCTTTGTTGTACATTTTGAATCAAGAATGGTGGTGTTCCATTCCTAAGAAAGGATTCAAACATGCATGCTGCTAAAAATATCTAAGACTTAGGAGCTACTTTGGAGATTTTAATAAACTGTAGTTAAAATATGTGTGCTTAATATGTATACATCTTCCTACTGTCATTTGATTAGTGAAAAGTTCAATTTATCCTACCAGGTCTTTCATTCTTATGTATAGAAAATGTCCATCTCCAATAGGACTTTAACACACTTGAGGTACTAAAACAGAAGTCTGATTATTGAGAAACATTACAGTTTTATTCTGAAGGCAAACTGTTTGCAAGGTATTTTCAGTAAGTCCTACACAGATGCAAAGACATTTACCAAGCTCCATCAAAAGTTGTTAAGAACTATGCAAAACATTTCAAGTACGTACGGAAGGAAAAGTGAGGCTTTCTCAACAAGAGCATGAACAAATTTAATAACAATAATTATGCGCTTTCAAGTCAGTCTTCACTCATCATGACCATTTTCAGGATTTCCCAAGTAGGGAATACTCAGCCAGGGTTCCCTCTTCCCGCCTTCTAGGGGCACTTTGGGACTGTGCGGCTTGCCCCAAGGCTACATAGGCTGGCTCTTCTCCCTGGAGGTGCACAGTCAGAAACAGAACTCCCAACCACTGGCTCCACAGCCAGATACCTAACTCACCGAGTTATCCAGCCAGCATGTACAAATTTACCTCCAATCAATTTAGCTTTTAAAAGGAACTTTGCTAACTTTCAATCTTGTGTTCTAGACATTTCACTTTGGATTATTATTATCAACTTTGTTAAGATCATATTGACTGCTAGATTCAGCATTTCTATATATAAAGCTTACTAATGAGCTCACTACTTAGCTATTAATAAGTACATATCTCCCTACTGTCATTTGGTCATCAAGAAGTCCAATGTGTTAGCAGAAAATGGTCTTTGCTGATTTATGAACAGCTCACATATCTGACAGCAAAAGACATTCTTGCTGGTGTGGAAAAGGGTCCAGACAATTGCATCTCTTTCAGATGTACTCAGACACTGAAGAAACTTGCTACATCCCTCTGGGAAACTACAGCTGGATGTATCATCATTTAGCTTTTGATCTGTGTGGGAACTAACTCTGCTGATAGAAGTCTGTGTTGGGAAACAGTCAAGGATTTGTGTAGGCACTTACATAACACAAAACAAACCAAGTGCCTCCGTTTATCTGTCATCCTTGTAGGCTAGCCTTTTTTTTTTTGACAGAACCCATATGGGTTGGAAAACACACACACACACACAAAAGCTTGATACAAAAACAAAAACCCACAACCATTAGTCCTAAAAACAAACATAGAAATGAACAACCAACACAACATTGTCAGTTTTCATGCTGTTCCAAAACAGACAGATTTCTAAATGATGCTTCAATGAAAATGAGAGGAGACATCTACCAGGAGAGAATTTCACGACTAAGGAGTTGCTACCAGGAAAACCAGCTGCACCTGTTAGCTCCAGGAGCCATATTCCACGGGGCGCTTGTCAGCAGAGATTTCCCTGCTGATCTTAAAAGTGAGGTCAATCAGTATTGGGAAAAGCAATCCATTGGGTTGGATCTGAGCTGTTCCAGGATGATGGAGACCAGCATCAGCAGCTTGACTGAGGCCTGGAGGCTCACTGACAGCTAGTGTAGCACTTTCAGGACCAGAGTAATGTAACACAGTTTTCTTGTTTCAAGCAACATTTAGGCACTGAAACGCGACACTAGCTGCAGGTTCTAGACCAGCGATGGTGAACCTATGTCACACGTCCCACAGCTGGCACATGGAGCCCTTTCTGCCAGCACACGAACCATACAGTAAGTCGCCAGATTGCTACTCCCCGCCCCCCCCCGGCACCCCCCCAACCCCAGGCGAGGGTGGTGGCTGCAGTCATGGTGCTGGCGCTTCGGCAGGCGGATCTGACAGCGGATTCGGAGTGGGGTCTTGAGGCACCTCCGTGCCGAAATTCCCCCTTCCACCGCCACTTCTGGTTCCACTGCCCCGCGTCAGCTGTTTGTTTTTCTCCCCAGTGGGCACGCGAGCCCAAAAAGGTTCGCAACCACTGATCTAGACTTTCTTCTAGAGCAGAGGTCCCCAACCCCCAGTCCGTGGCCCCCGCCCTTTGCGCATGAGCACCTGCGTGCCCGCATAAGCACCCCTCACTCCTTCGCGCATGTGCACAAGCGCAGGGAGGTGCCCTGCCTTCCCCAGCCAGTCCGTGGGGCTAAAAAGGTTGGGGACCGCTGTTCTAGAGAAGCAGGTGTAAAATGCATTGTGCTAATCCAGCTGAGACCCACTGTCCCAGTGCAAAACCTTCTGCAGCCAGAAAACCAACTGGACCAAGGCACTCTTTGCATTAAATCCAATCAGATGTGTAGTGACCTCTCACCACCGAAGAGTATCCCTGCTCAGACTGTGCACTCATTCTTTCACAGGTATGTTACCCTGTTCAAGGTAGGCTGCCCTTCTGATTTTCTCACACAAGAACGAAAGACCCTCAGGCCTTCTGAGCTTTAGCCTATATGCTACCTTCTACTCCATCACTCCATCCAAACATTGGTCCAGAACAGGCACAGCCTCTCCTAATTGAGACAACATATAGTTAAAGGTGAGGATCATTTTTGCCCCAAATGATTTCTTCCAGAGTTTCCTGTAAACGTTAAATAGAAGAGTAGGCAACACAGAACCTCGAGACCCAAGAACACAACTGCCAAGACTCTGGATTATACTCTCCGGTCTTGGTCCTAGAAACTAGAGCAGAACCACAGTAAGACAGTACTTTCAGTTCCCAACACACAGCAGGAGATTGTGGTTAAGAATACTCAAAAGCGCTGAGAGGTCACAGAAAAACATCACGGTAGCACTCACCATCTGTCTCCCAAATAAATTTATTCACTGGCCTACATCAATAAGGCCACTGTTTCATTATCCTATCTAGGTTTAAAGCATTGGTAGGGAACATGTTGCCCACAGAGGCCAAAAACTGATCCCAGCACCCCGTTTTCCCTAATATATTCATATATATTTGAATACTAGAGGGTATGAAGTGTTTTTTTAGTTAAAAACCTCATTTTTCATCAGAAAAACCCTAACCATTCTTGGTGGTGGTGGTGCTGTGGCACATGATTCATACAGTGTCACCAAAGTAAACAAAGCTGTATTTCACCAAAAACATTCTTACTTTTAAAAAGAAGCAGTGTGTGAAGTCAGTCTTTTACTCTGGGAGAGTTAAAGCTGCTGTGTAAAAGGGCACACGGACTGCTTGCCTGGTTTGGTGATGGGTTTTATCCAAGAGAACGAGTCCCTGTTCACAAGTTTTAACAGCAGTCCCAGAATTAGCATACAATTTTTTTGGGGGGGGAGCTGTCATTTGAGCAGCTGCATACGGGGGTACAGAGTCTGTGTGAGCGCCTCAACAGCTGTGCAATTTTGTGTGTGTGTGTCTGTGTGTGTGTACATGCACTCATGCAAAATCTACTCCTTGCTCCAATCCCTGACAGGTCAGAAACTTACTTATGAATTAAAAATGCAATTAAGCTGTACAGAGATGATATTGGGCACTACCCAAATTCAGGGTCACAGACTAAACAAACAAAAGCATCTGAAAAAAATTTCAAGGGCATTAGTAACATTGGTGGTTTTATTAAAGAGCTGTACATTAAAAAGTAACCCATTAATCCAATGTGACCTGTTTGCCAAAATTGAAGAAGCAAAAAGAGGCAGCCGAACATATCTACCTTGGGCGTATCTGCTATAGAGAAAAAGTCCTATACAGAGCCTTTGGCTCTTACAAGGACTAGCTTGGCAGTGTTATCTGTAATGAAAATATAACGAGAAAGTTTTATTTAAGAGGAACAGAAAATGTTACACACGAGGCACACCCTTGGAAGCTCAGTCAAGGGCTTCTCAATCTGTTCTGGCAGCTGCGCTTCCCTAAGGAATAGCTTTTCCACATTACCAGTCTCCTTCTAGTGCCTGTAATGTGCAGGGCATATTCTAGGACACATTCATTTCATGCTTTGAAACTAAGCAGACCAAGGGTACTGAAAACCTACACTCAGGGAGGCTTCTCCAAAGACTGAATTCCTGAAAGCCATTCAACAGTAGCAAGAAATAGAATCTAAATTAGGAAGCTTCGCCCTCAAATGTGAGTGCTGATTTCAAAAGGAGTCAACAGCAAACAGAAGCTTGTTCAATGTATTCTTGAAGGCTTTCGCGACTGGGATCTGATGGTTGTTGTGTTTTTTTTGGGAGGGGGCTCTTTGGCCGTGTCCTTAAGGTTGTTCTTCCTAACGTTTCGCCAGTCTCTGTGGCCGGCATCTTCAGAGGACAGGAGTCAGAACTCTGTGCTCTGTTGCTGTTTGATGAATAGTTCCTTCACATGAGATTCTTTATGTCTGTAGTTAAGCAACAAGCATCTATTTACTAGCAACAATTACTTAAGAAGCTTTTTTCCATTTTTGCAGAAATGGAAATGTGACTTTTTAACAATGGTGCTAGCAGTTATGTCTCACTTTCTTCCAACAGAGAGCCAGGGAAATCTATAGTCACTGCAAACAGGTATGATGGAAAAGAAAACATAAACCAAACTAAAGGCAGGAAAATCCGACCAGAAAACAATATTAAATGGTACAGGTTTGATTAGCAAGAGGAAGCAGAGACTTGACATTAAGGGCTTGATCAGAAATGGATACTAAGGGCTTATCAATACAGAGCATTTCCCCCCATAATGTTCAGCACTCATTAATATTCTCCCACCATCCTCACAAGGTCTGCCTTGTTCTGGTTAGAACTGTAACAAAATTGGTAACTTTCTGTGATTTTCCTCCTTCTGGAGACATAGCCTGTTTTCAATTCATTTTGTTCAGGAGGTGGAATTTAGCACAATGGCACTTCCTTTGTTGTTTATCTCTGCAGTCAGAGACTCCTGACGGAGACTTCTAATTAACTTTCAATTAGGCTTTCAACTAATAATTAATAATTGTGTGTCATCAAGTCAATTCTAACTTATGGTGACCCTTTTCAGGGTTTCCTAAGCAGAGAGTACCGAGAAGTATCAAAGGCGACAAGAACGCCATGTTTCTTCACACATAGACTCAGGGAACAGATGAAAACATTTTTTCAGAAACAGCTTTGGAGAAGCTTCTAGAAGGAAATGGACCACCAAGAGAAAGGTGTCAGAGAGGGCACCAGAAAAAGATTGGGGATACTGACTCATCACACCTTCACCCCCAGGAGAGACTGGTACAGAGTGCTTTCCCTTTCTCCTCCCTCTCGGTTTCCTTGGCACCTGGTGTCTTTGGTCAACCCTCTCCTTGTTCTATGTTGTGTGACCTCTCAGTTGCATTAGAAACTTTCCTTGCCCTCTCTCCTTTCTCAGGCCCTTCCCTCATGAGGTTCCCTGGCACACTCATGAGGGGCACTGAATTCCTGCTCCCCCTGGAAGAGCGTGATCACCCATAAAGGGCTGGTCAGTTTTATATTCGCCAGATGACTGAGGTGTGTGTAGGAATAAAGGTTGTATAGTTATACACTGAAATATTGAAACTATGCCCTTTGTCTTGAGATGTCTTTAAGCATCAGTTCTATTTTCAAACATCACCACGGCAAGATATGATAATACATTTCTGTGTACATGTATTCTTTTATTTCAGACACAAGCCATTCTTTGCTTCTACAGCCCTTATTCATATACTCAGTTACACCTACACATATGAAACTGCTTGGAATGGGAAATTGCACCTATTGATAATCTACACAGGCAAACTGGAAATTCAAGGTCAGCACACACTATCCCCAGGTCTCTCCTTACATTCTCATGCTGAATGAAGACAAAGACGTCACATCCCACCGCACAGGAAAAAACGTAACTCAGAATAAATGACCATAAACCTACTGACTGAAAACTGATCTAGAAAAAGCAGGAGCTGCACAGACAGTAGTTTCTATACAACAATTATCCAATATAATTAAGAATGGATTAAGCCTTCTAGAATGATATATTACAGTCCTGGAGTCTGACTCATGATTTTGTTGCACATGGGGATTCAGGGAAAGAAGCAATGTCTGAACAATCCCAATAAAAACATTATTTTTGTGTTTATGGTTTAAGTGGATGAGCTGCAAAAGTCAAGCCTCTAGGAGGTAACCTCCTTTTGCAAAAGTATGGTTATAAAGTCTGACATGGAATGTATTTACTGTAGCTTGCAGACCAGATCTGGTCAACAATAGTTATTTTCTGGCCCCATGTAGGTCCTACTGGTAAAGGCTTTAAGAAGTCTCAACAGTACTGAAAGATATACGAACAGGTGTCTACCCAATCAACTGGGAAGGGAAAAGGATGCAGAAAGATGCAAGAGAAATATCCACAAACACAACATATGTGTCTTTCAGTTTTGTACGACATGCTGGCAGTCACTCAGACATTTAGTAACACGCTCATCCATAAGGGGGCTGGATTGTACCACAAAATAAGCCATACTGAGTGAGCAATGAACTGACCTATACTAAGTAACAATATGGAGAATTATTTGGCACTGCAAATAAGCTAATTCATATAAACTGGCTGTGAGACCAACTCAAGAGTTATCTGGCCAGTCAACAATGTCAAAGCATTTCACAGAAGTCAGCCAGACTTCCTGACTCCTTGAGAAATGCCTTTGAAAATCCCAAAGAAGCAGTGTGTTTAAATTGGCTGACTCTGCTTTTTCTTCTCCTCCCCCCCCCAAAACCTGGAAGAAGCTGTTGACACTTTCACTTCATCCACATATATTAAATTTCTTCATTGGCAAACTAAGGGAACAATCCATTTTATTAAATATCAGTAAGAATGTTTACTGTACCTTGCCATAAAAATCACTCATCTGGTATAATGGGATATGTTGAGTTCCACCATACATCTCAATAACCTCTTCATCAGGCACTGGTTTCAAGCCTCTATTACAACAAGTTACAAGAAACTCTAATAAATGTCAAACTCAGTACAGAAGGAAAGAAAGAAAGAAAAAAAAGGAACAGATTGCAAGGACAATCCTAGTTAAAAAACCAAGAAGAAAATGACTTTCATACTAAGGTTATTTCTAACCTAACATGGTCTTTCATTTGTACCCAAGTTATTAAAAGAGATTAAACTCATTTGTAAATTGGCAGCCAGTTGTGTTCACTTAACTGGGAATAAAATTTTGGTTCGCTATCCTGTGATGTAATGAATTATACAGCATTTTATTTTGGAAGAGACTGTGCAAATGAATGTCCATAACTTTCATAAAATGTCAAAGGCCTCAGGAAACTTTGTTTCTGCTTAAATTTCATATACTTTGGTGTTGCTGCCCCATCAACACAGGTAATTTTCATTACCCAACTCACAGAATTATCTTTCTAAGTAGCCTGTGAATGTTATCAAGCCAGGTGGGTGGAAGAGAGGACTTCATGTGCTGTAACTTTCCAGTGGAATGTCTATTACACTCTCTTCAAAGTGGCACTGATACCCCCAAGTTACCCAAAGCAAGGCAACTGTCGGCTTTGGAGCTTAAGAAGTTTTTATGCTACAAGGTTAGGAGGAATAAAACAAAGAAGCACCTAAGGAAAAAAATTAATATTATAGAATAAGGGTAGTTAAATTCTCTCTGATGATGTAATGTTACTAGTTTTGCATTTTTAGGACATCTTGTTTTGTTATAGGGCTGAGACCTAAGTCAATTAATAACATACCATAGTTACTGAAAGTAAATGTTAAGAGAGTACAATGCATTAATAATCATGGCTTCCCCACCACAGAGCTTCCTAATGTCCAAGGATAGCAAAACAGGTGCCTACCAAACTCCTCACTCAACCTCCTGAAGCTACAGGTTTATTATTTAACTATAACACTGTTAATAACATTAACCCACAGTACTCTACACTTAACAGGAAACTCAAGGACTAGGTTTATGTACTTTCTGCACATGATTCTTTCCTTTGTAAACTATTTAAATGTCAAAGGCCTCAGGAAACTTTGTTTCTGCTTAAATTTCATATACTTTGGTGTTGCTGCCCCATCAACACAGGTAATTTTCATTACCCAACTCACAGAATTATCTTTCTAAGTAGCCTGTGAATGTTATCAAGCCAGGTGGGTGGAAGAGAGGACTTCATGTGCTGTAACTTTCCAGTGGAATGTCTATTACACTCTCTTCAAAGTGGCACTGATACCCCCAAGTTACCCAAAGCAAGGCAACTGTCGGCTTTGGAGCTTAAGAAGTTTTTATGCTACAAGGTTAGGAGGAATAAAACAAAGAAGCACCTAAGGAAAAAAATTAATATTATAGAATAAGGGTAGTTAAATTCTCTCTGATGATGTCACTAGTTTTGCATTTTTAGGACATCTTGTTTTGTTATAGGGCTGAGACCTAAGCCAATTAATAACATACCATAGTTACAGAAAGTAAATGTTAAGAGAGTACAATGCATTAATAATCATGGCTTCCCCACCACAGAGCTTACTAATGTCCAAGGATAGCAAAACAGGTGCCTACCAAACTCCTCACTCAACCTCCTGAAGCTACAGGTTTATTATTTAACTATAACACTGTTAATAACATTAACCCACAGTACTCTACACTTAACAGGAAACTCAAGGACTAGGTTTATGTACTTTCTGCACATGATTCTTTCCTTTGTAAACTATTTACGTAAAGTAAAAAAGCAGCATTAAAAATAAGATGTGCTTGAAATAATTTTTTTTAAACACAACTATTGACAATTTTAATGCTTCCTTAATTGACTGGTAGTAGCTCATGTTTACAGTATTTTTCAAAAAAAAAAGCTTCTGTACATTTGTTACAAATGAGGTAGCTGTGCCTGGTTATCAGAAAAGTGAGTTATTGTTCTTTATAAAATTATGGTGCTTGTACACAGTCTTACTCAAAATCTTGGTGCAGCTTGTTCCTACTTCAATTACTCAGAAAGTATCCTCTGTAATAATTCAGTGAGGGCCAGTGTTATTTTGGAGACAGCCCACCTACATGGATTTATGAATACAGTGAAATTATAGGCATTGAGTTGTGGCTCTAGAACTCAGTCACTTAAACAATGACATATCGCTGTTCAAAAAACAGACAGCTATTCACTCTTATAACTGGTTGTCAGAAATTTTGAAGGAATAGAAATTTTTATAAAGAGCAACAGATCCAGAATGAACGTAAAGAAAGCAGGTGTTGTGATTTTGAAAACATGATGAAAACTCACTGATATGCAGTACCCAGCTGAACATAATGGAAAGCATCAATCTTCATCAGCAGGCTCTGAAAGATAAGCAAAACTTTATTGTGAAAATACTTCATGGGTTATAGTCAACACTGTGCTAGCCTGCTTTCACCAGCACAATGGCATGATGTGGTTCCCTCTGTCCTTCAGAGACTGCAGATCTGATCGCTAGCATGAGGGGCCAAAATGGAGAGAACTCCTCTTGGTCCCACTGACAGAACAACTTCTCTCTGCAGAATGACACCATTCACTCTATTTGCCTAGTCCAGTGGCTCCCAACCTTGGGTAACCCAGGTGTTTTTGCACTGCAACTCCCAGAAACCTTGGCCAGCACAGCTGGTGGTGAAGGCTTCTGGGAACTATAGTACAAGAACACCTGGGTTGACCAAGATTGGGAACCACTGAACTAGGCTGAAGAACAGAGATGAGCACAAACTGCTGGTTCGGTTGATCCGGTTTGGCGTCTCTCCCCCTCCAGGGGATGCCCACTTATATCCACGTTAGACCCTCTGAGGAAAGGATTGTAATTAAATTGTCTGTGTCTGCAGAGTACACACATGGACTCAGCCCTCCAAAATCATCCTGGGCATAATAACCTTGCATATGCCAGAAATTAGTGGTAGAAAGGAGGATGGATTGGGGGTGTAGCAGGGGTACTTCAGAAAAATCCTGTGCTCACTTAAGAAACTTCAATTCTTGATGTTAGAGTCACTATCTTAGAATTCTATACATGCACACACGCACACAAAAGAATAATAAACCCTGCTTGGGACATGAATACTCCAACAGCAAGGGTTTTAAAAAAATGTTTTAAAATCTTATGTTTTAAAAATGTCGTAAATAGCTTTGTAACCCATCCCGAGTTCCTGTGATATAGGGCAGGGAATGAATGAATAAATAAGCAAGCAAGCCAATCAACCAACAAGCTAGCAAGCAAGCTACCTAACTAGCTAGAATTTAACCTTACCTTGGTTCAGTGCTGTACAAAGTAACAGTGCACGTGTTATACACGGCCTCCCTTTGCCAACAAAACCCTTGAAGAAAGGTGACCATACACCATATACCAGTGAACACAAGGAAGAACACAAACATCTCCGTTTGTGAACTTCAGATACATCATTCCATTTCTGCCACTAAAAACAAAATACTTCCAACTTATTTCTCATTTTAGAATGAGGGGGACAAATTTTAGCATGAACACTTCACTTCCGTGTATTGGCTACACTGATCCTGTCACATTGACAATGACAATCATCCACCCAGCAGGTGACATCTTAGAGGCTGACATATAAGAATAGCATATAGTGGCCTTATAAAAGAGATCTTATATTGGGTCTCTCTTTTGTCTTATTATTCTGTGCTCCACGTGTCGTCCAGGGATTTAGCTCAGTTACCTTTCGGGAAGAAACCACAGTTTGTTGATGGGGGTACATGCTATGCATATAGAAGGTCCCAAGCTGCAGCAGTACACTGGCTGTGTAGAAAACCATAGCACCACTGCTATGTTGTAGGAAACAATTTAAGAACATGCATACTTCAGACTTGTTAAACGTTTTTTTTTACTTTTTATATATACTGTACATATATAACTGGCTGCCCTTTGTCACCCCTTCTGTTTACTATGGTGATTGAATTTTTAGCCTCACATATAAGGGTAAATGAGAACGTATTAATAATTCTACTCATGTCATCAGCTTATATGCTAATGAATCCTATACAGAAGCACCCCTCATATACTCAATGAATTAGAAAAAAAAATGTTTGAGTGCAGGATTTCAAGTGAATTTTAGGAAATCTGATTTAATATGCTTCAATATAACCCCCCCCCGTTTTTTTTTACTTTATACATATACTGTACATATGTAACTGGCTGTCCTTTGTCACCCCTTCTGTTTACTATGGCGATTGAATTTTTAGCCTCACGTATAAGGGTAAATGAGAACGTATTAAGAATTCTACTCATGTCATCAGCTTATATGCTAATGAATTCTATACAGAAGCACCCCTCATATACTAAATGAATTAGAAAAAAATGTTTGAGTGCAGGACTTCAAGTGAATTTTAGGAAATCTGATTTAATATGCTTCAATATAACCCCTCCCCCGGAGTTCAAATTTCAATATCACAAACATTGAAAGTCCCATTCACAAATATTAATTTTAAATATTTAGGAGTCTTCATAGCTAAAAGTTCTACCAAGCTTCTCAAACTCAACTATGTACCCTGTTCCCCACAAAACAAGACCTATCCTGAAAATAAGCCCTAGTATGATTTTTCTGGATTCTCATAATATAAGCCCTACCCCCAAAATAAGCCCCAGTTATGTGAAACCTTGTCCTCCACCATTGTGCAGCAACCAGAAGAAGATGACATGACTGTATTTGAATAAATGTAGATTGTTGTGCATGAAAATAAAATAAAACATCCCCTGAAAAGAAACCCCAATTCATTTTTGGAGCAAAAATGAATATAAGACCCTGTCTTATTTTCGGGAAAACATTTGCTTCATTTGGAAGAAATCCAAATCTGAAATGAAAAAATGGGGAAAATATAAGTTATCACTATCAAATCGGATTGCTTCAGTTAAGATGATTATTTTACCCTGGTTTACATATCTCTTTTATGTCTTGCCTTTAAAAATTCAAGATGCCACATTCAAGATGTGGCAGAAAGGAATTGAAACATTTATTTTTATTTTTAATAAGAAAAATCCCAAATGAGTAAAATCCCTCCGTTACCGTCCAATTACTAAAGGAGCCTAACAACTTCATATTATGATGCTGCTAGACATAGAATCAGGCCAAACCCCTTGGCTTCAAATAGAAATGGAATTACTGGGTATATTTGAGCTAGGAAAAATACTTTATGTGAAAAAGAACTTTAAAAATCAGCTCCAAAATGTTCATAGTATTCTACTATCCTGCAAAGCAATTGTGGAAGAAGAGAAAGGAGATGTTCCTACCAGATATCTCCCCTTTAGTACCAATATATTGTCACCCACGTTTCTCACAGGTGATAAGGTATTTAACTCCCAGAGCTTTTGAAATGATTGGTCTTATTAGGTTAATTGAATTTTATACCAATCAGCAACCTCTTTCTAGGGATTTTTTGAGGGTCCATTTCAGAGAGTGGGGAATATCATGGCTAACTTGGTATCAGACAAGTAATTTTATTAGACAGGCTAACACTACAAAACAGGCCATAAAGCGCCTTACTCCGTTTGAAAATCTTCTCCTCTCTCTAGCTAAAACAAATAAAGGAGCAGTATCAACATTTTATTCGTTGCTGATCAAGCATTATCAATGGGATTGCGAGAAATATGGGAACATGACTGGAATATTAAAATCAATGAAGAGAAATGGTCAGGGATGTTTTCAAAATTCCTTGAGGGACCAGAGAGTGGGGAATATCATGGCTAACTTGGTATCAGACAAGTAATTTTATTAGATAGGCTAACACTACAAAACAGGCCACAAGGCGCCTCACTCCCTTTGAAAATCTTCTCCTCTCTCTACCTGAAACAAATAAAGGAGCAGTATCAACATTTTATTCGTTGCTGATCAAGCATTATCAATGGGATTGCGAGAAATATGGGAACATGACTGGAATATTAAAATCAATGAAGAGAAATGGTCAGGGATGTTTACAAAATTCCCATATAATGGCATCTCTATTACAGCCAGGGGGATTGCACTGAAAATAATCCAAAAATGCTATCTGACCCCAATTCGGCTCCACATGTTAACCCTGCAATGTCACCAATGTGTTGGAGAGGCTGTAAGGGATTTTTTAAAAACGCTTTTGCTGGTATTGCAAAAAAGTTGACTAATTTTGGGAAGAAGTGTTTAATGAAATAAATAAAATTACTCCAGAATTAGCACATCTTACTCTTTTTCCGGAGAAAAATGAATCTGTTTCATACAAAACCTTAATAGGCCATCTTTTGACTGCAGCAAGACAGACCATAGCGAAAGGGTGGAAAAACATGCAGGGAGCATCAATTGCAGCATGATACTCAAGAGTATGGCAGGAAGCACTGCAAGAAAAATTAACCACCAAATTGCATATAGTTAAAGGGATAAAACACTGGGACTCTTTTACAAACTGACAGTAATCCTTTTATTATTTATATGAATAGAATGGATAATAAGGGACTCCCTGATATATAGAGAAATTATTGGTGATTGTAATAAACTTGATGGGAATGGGAATGTGGGAGGGAAGAAGGGCATAAAATATAATAATTTATATGTGACTGTATATAATTAATAACATTTATTAAAAGAAAAATTCAAAAAAAAAAATAATAACTGGCTGGATAGCTCAGTGGTTTAGATACCTGGCTGAGAAGCCAGAGTTTGATTCCACAGCTGTGCCTCCCGGAAAAGTAAAGCCAGCCTATGTGTCCTTGGGCAATATATATAGAGTCTCAGGGCATCCCCAGAAGAAGGGAATGGCAAACCACATCTGAGTATTCTCTACCTGGAAAACTCAGAAAAGGGTTGCCATAAGTTAGCATTCACTTGATTGCACACAATTGCTATTATAATACATATATTTTTACTCATGCTTCAACATTTCCACATTTGATTGAATCCAGCTTTTTCCCTTACCATTGGCAGCACTCCCTGAGTAGAGGTATTCTTGAGATATTTCAATCAGCAAGAAGGTGGAGAGTGATCTTAACTGATCCATACTTCCCCTACACCACCTTTTATACTCTTTCAGAGAACTGCTCAAGGTTTAAAAGCATATTTTGGAAAGCAAATAGAGGGAACCTTTCTATCTACAAAAGGGAGACCCAAGATCCACACCAACAATCACTCATACTTGATCTCACAAAAATAGCTGAGTTTCTTGTTCGGGGGGAGGTGAAGATGGAGTGTGTGCCATCTGTTATTATCAAATGCCCCTCAGGTCACACTTCCACAAAACAGCTGTAAAAAAATCTTTATTTTACTGTAACATAGATAACATAGGAGAGTGCAAAAAAAGGTCCAAAGCCCAGCATCAAAAAAAACTAAGATAACGGTGACTGGTCCCATCACCTCCTGGCAAATTGAAGGGGAAGATATGGAGGCAGTGACAGATTTTACTTTCTTGGGCTCCATGATCACTGCAGATGGTGACAGCAGCCACGAAATTAAAAGACATCTGCATCTTGGGAGGAAAGCGAAGACAAACCTCGACAGCATCTTAAAAAACAGAGACATCACCTTGCTGACAAAGTTCCACATAGTCAAAGCTATGGTTTTTCCAGCAGCGATGTATGGAAGTGAGAGCTGGACCATAAAGAAGGTTGACCGCCAAAGAATTGATGCTTTTGAACTGTGGTGCTGGAGGAGGCTCTTGTCTGCGAGGCAACCAACTTGAATTAGACAAAACTACGGGAGGCAGTGGAAGACAGGAGGGCCTGGCGTGCTCTGGCCCATGGGGTCACGAAGAGTCGGACACGACTTAACAACTAAACAACAACAACAATAACATAGATACCAAGCATTACAGTGCTGCCTGGTTGCTTCTGCTTGTCCACTTCTACCAGTGGAATGGCATAAACCTTTCTGCAGACTCTACAGATGCTTTAATGTGACATTTAATTCTGGCCTCAAAAGCTAGATCCTTAAGCCACTGAGTGTTCTTGGTTTAGGAGACAAACAAGCTAGAGTCCCTGATTTGTACTTTAATAGAAAACCCTTGGTTCATCTCACCCTTCCTGCTTACAAGAAGAGCCAAGTAGGAGCAATCAGTCTAACCTGTGCTGGCACATGGCTCACTGCCAATGTCAGAATGGTCTGCAATCTTGATTTATTGTTGCATTCAAAGACATTCCAGTGTCCTCTTGAGAGCTGATGTCCTATCAACGTCTTTGGCAATCCCACTTTTTCAAAGAAAGAGTGAATGTTACTTCAATTCTTTCTCTCTTAGCCTCTTTCTAATTTAAAAAGAATGGTGCCTTGAGAGGATTATGTTTTATATTTATTTATGTTATATTTTAAACCACTTCATACATATTACATAGATCACCTTTCAGCACAAGTTAGTGCAAAAAAGGCATCCTGCCTCAGCCAGTCTCCTATCTTCCATGTTTTGTTGAGCCACCTTTGCGGCTTCTTCCATCATGTTCCTCCCTGACATCTTCTACTGCAGCTGCCACATAGCAAATTTACTTCCAGCTTCAGAAAAGGCTAATGCATGAAGAACCACTAAAGAATATGCATGACTTACTATAAGCCTTCAGTGTTAAGCATTACCTGCCTTCTAAATTATAATTCAGCACATCTTGGAAGGCAGAATGTTATGCAAGCATTCTGTGTTCTTTTTTTAGTACACACATACACGCACACTCAGAGCCACTGTTAATTCCAACTCTTCCTCTAAGAAAACCCATAATTTCTGAGGACTAGCCAGGCACATAAACATTTAAGGGGGGGGCACATAAGGCACATCTGATGAATCTTGGCTCTTCACACACTTTGAAATAATTTATAAACAGAGACAAAGATTGTTCGAACTTACTTTATGCACATCATAGTGAAGTCCTCTTATAGCGAATCCAGGAATGTATTCATATTTTCTGAGTCCCTCTGGATACTGCAAAACAATCCATTAGAAAGCATTAGTACACCTTGTCACCGGGGCTGCATGCCACATTATGGTGGTTTATTCCAAGACCACTAGAATCCCAGAATACTTCTGAACAAGTATGGGTGACAGATGTACTGTACAGGGTGTCAAATGTGGACTGTGGTCAGAGATCAAACTCACCTGATAACTTTAGACCTAATAAAGCTTTTGCTCAGTTTGAGCCTTTGGATACATACTGTATTCTCATATTTATTTCTACTACCGTAAGTTGCCATAATGCTTTTGTCATTTAAAAAAAATCTTTTGTTTTTGCCTGATTATAAGAACAAGAAATTCTGTCCTTGGACAGAAACTAAAGTTCTCCCAAGGGGGAAAAACCATCAACCTACATCAGCTACAAAAATTAAATATAGTAAACATGGACTAACATCCATTTATAACATTTTCTTCTTCAACAGCAACTACAAATGTACAGTATATGGAAGTAATGGATGGCATCAGGAGAAAGAATAACTTAATTAATAGTCTGGATCCTGTTTGGTGTGCCTTTCCTGCACAAAAGGAATGATGGGATCAGCAGCAGTGGAATCTCACTTATTAAACTTGCTTGCTTCCTTTTGCAATTTTGTTATACATACAACTTTGCTGCATTATATATGAATTATGCACATTTAGGAATAACAACAGAAAATCTTTACTCAAGGTAATCTGCAACTGCTGATGACATCGTTCTCCTTATGTTGGCAAAGCTGTGCAACAGGATTACAGCCATAGTTGACTAGACTATTCATTAATTAAAGGCATACAAAGCTTTTCTTCCAAATGACATTCAGAGTAGTTAACAGTGGTAACAACAAAATTAATATAGTCAAACATAAAAACAGATTAAAACAAAATTTAAAATACATCAATCCAAGAAACATCTACCGCCCGCCAAATAAATGCTATCTTAGATGCCAACAGTTTGATTGAATCAGGTCTTCACCTGGTGGGGGAAACTGTACAAGGTTTGTCAGATAAACACTATTTCCAGATTAGTATCTGGAGACATTAGATGCAGTACCAAACAATGGTTTCATGTTAAGAGAACAAACTTCAGGCTCACCATGACCCCAAAAGCAGAATTACATTGTTACCTTATATTGTTCAATTAGGATATCTCTAGCAGTGTTGAATATCATAGTATGCAGCAAGTTTGAATACTGTGCTAATGTGTAATCATAATCAAAGCCATAGATCTCCACATCTCCCAGACTGATCTCATTATTTGCATAAATAGCTGCTGGATTAAGAAGACTGCAGACCCCTGGTGGAAGGAGATCTGGAACAAAGTAACAGAAATGCAATCAACCATTTGGCTTTTGATCAGACACTATGTGATGTGGGGATGCTATTAACGTGCAAAAAACCAAAACAAAACCTGTTCCCTTTAACTAAAGCAGTATGATACTGTATAATATTTAAGTATTCATTTTGAAATGGATGATGAAAAATTTGCAGTTGCACTTCACAGATCTTTAATATGACACACACAGTCCAATTTTCATCGTCAAAATAATAATTGAAGTAAACAATTTTTCCTGTTAAGACTAAATAGTGTATACTAGCAGGGATCCTGAATTTGCTCCTGCTGACGCAGCTGTCCCTGAGTACAGTTATACTCATTGGAAAATTTGGCCAATGATGGCGGGAGGGGAAGTGACTATTTCCAGTCCCATCTTCATCTTGTATCCCCTGATTTTCCTCCCAGAGTACAGCCGGGAGGGACGGACTCTCCAGAACAGCAGGAACAGAGGGCAAGTGAAAGAGAGAATTAGTGAAAATAGCTTACTCCATGTTTACAAGTTGACTACTGTACTTTTCATGATCTCAACTATGTCCATGAATGGAAAGAGCCTTTTTTTTAAAATGGAAATGTAGCTAGGGTTCAAATCATTCTAATCTAAATTATGAATTTCTTGCCATTATTCTTTTCAGGGATGTTTTCTCAATCTTATTTTTAAGTTCTTACAGTTCTCCAAGTGGGAAACAGGCTTTACCTAGGGAGACTCTCCTCTTCCAGCATTTTGCCTGTCAGCCACCAAATGCCTTAGGTTCTGATCAGGTACTTCAAGTTTTCCCCCATGAATTGTGACTGTCAATTTATGAAAGAAGGTCAGGAGAATGAGGGGGAAAATCTGTGTGGTTGACATTTGAGAAAGTCTTCATGCACAGTGGCCCAAATGCCTCCAGGGATACAGTCAATATGACGCATGGAATGGCTGACTCAGCCTATCCACATTACAGCTTTGCTTCTCAGACGCAATCAAAAAAACCAATAACGTGAAAGCTGAGAAATGTTTTCACATGTATCATCCCTGGGAAGTGATTGGTATAATGGGCATGTTGGGTCAAATATTACTTCCTCTATATTGGTCCCAAGGACTCTATACGTTTCCACAGGGAGTCTTCCAGAGTCTAACCATCACCCTTGAATAAGACAAACGTATGACATTTAAATGCTGAAAATATTATGCTCAGGAGACATTTTTCTCTTCAGTATAAACAAATTGTCCCAAAGTGGCTGAAGCTTTTTTTTTTTTTTATAATAAGAATTAATTTCAGATTGGATATCTCACCATTGACTTTGAGTTTCTCAAGGCTGAGTCAATAGTTCCATTGCTACAAATTGGATGAAATCTTGTTGTGTATATTATGCTGATGAGGTTCTCAGCAGTGATGATTGCCTGGAAATGAAACATTTCCAATTTCTTCCCTCAAGGCTCCCATTTAATTGCTTTTTAGCATCAAGAAGCCGCTAGGGACTGTGGGAGGAAGTCTTTAATTACTGGAAACTGCCACAGCTGGGATGAATCTACTACCAGCAGCAATTTTCAGTTATTAAAGACTTCCCTCTTCCAATCCATAGCACCACACCCCCAAAGATGAAAGGGAGTACACAGAAGCCTTGGGATCTTTGGGAGAGAAGTCAGAAATTAATTTCCAGAAGACTGTCACTGCTGATGACATTATCAGGCTTATGCAGCATAAATTATGGTAATAATTCAATCTATATATTGTAAATGTAAAAAAAATATATTGCAAGGATGTATTATTAGCCATGTTTACAACCCCCATGGTTCCAGTCTTTCTGATGAAAAGTGGGGTATATCTGTACTATATAGAGTTATAGTAGTCTGATACTCCTTTAAATCCCATGTCTTCTACATCCCAGAGATAGAACAGCCTGACACCCCTTTATGTTCCACAGCTCCACCTCGGAATTCTGGGATCGGTAATTTGATGTGGCACTTGGGAGTTCTCCACTGCAGCTCAAGACAAAGCACTAGTACTCTTGAGCGCCGAATTCTCAAATGCAACACACTGGATTCCATAGGATGCCATCATGGTTGAAATGGCATCAGACTGCTGCAGCTCTGTAGTGCAAATGCACACACATGGGATACCTGTCCAAATCTGAATGATCAAATATCTCCAGCATCCATAAACATCTATTCAATTCAGATGCTTTAAGCTAACGAATGTTCAAAAAAACAAAATAAGAATAATCTTCTCTCAAATCAATTATAACTCCATAAATGCTTTACCACCTCCAGCTGCCCAAAACCACAGTGTGTCCTGGTTTGCTCTAGATCTCTCTCTCATGGAAGAATGTGAGATAAATAATAAATTTCACTTATAAATTTAACAGGGCAAAACTCTTATGGCAAGATTCTGAATAAAGTGGTTTCAATTTCTACTGCAGCTAGCAGAAAGCAAGGCTACGTGCAAAGAAATTAGTCATTTTCTCAAAGCACATTGCCAACAGCAGTGGTCATTTTCCAAAGGGCAGAAAGCAAACTATTCTGAAAGGCCTTAACCAACAGCAGTTATTGAAGAAAGCCCTTTCAGAGCACCAGAAGGACTGTATTTAACAAAATGTAGCCATTTCATATTCCCAGAATCCACAGAAGACTAAGCCCTCGCTTCAACTTTCTTTTTAATAATACTCGTTTATTCTCTAAGGAGTACAGAAGTTCATCCTACTAAGTGGAGCATATTATCTTGTCACCATCGGTACCCAAATGAAAACCACAGACAACTAATAGTCCAAACATACTGTTCTGTTATGCTTTTGCAATTGGTCCCTACATAACACAGAACTTCAGCTGAAAGAAATAATAGTTTGGTTTTCTCTACAGCAACCTGAGACAGCTTGCATTCAAAGGAACAAAACAATATTATAACACTCACGGGTAAACCCAATGTTAGTTCTTCCTAGAACATAGCCAATAAAATCAGTGGGATTTATGTTAGTTATAAATAAGTTCTGTTCATTTTAACTGGCCTACTCTATGTACAATTAACACTGGATTTCACTCTGAGACATATTTTAAGAGAACCCAAAGCTACAAATCATGTACACAGTAATTTCTGAAATTCCCACATTCAGCTAAAGAAACTAACAAATGTTATAATAAATAGGTAACAAGAGCTGGAATACAGTTGGAAGCTATATTTGAAACTGTTGTAAGAGAAATGCTTATTACAGTATATCCAAAAATGCAATAGCTGGAAAAATGTTATTAATCCAAAAACTTTTATTGTTTACTTTTACTGCTGTACATCACGGCCAGATTATCATTTTCCATAATTTATAGGTTCTAACCTATAAAGCCCTAAATGGTTTGGGCCCTAGCTATCTCAAGGACCACACATCTCCCTTTATGAGCCTGCTCAAGTGTTCAGGTCATCAGGAAAGACCTTTCTCTTGGTCCTGCCACCTTCACAGATGTGTTTGGAATAGAGACGGAGTTCTCTAGTTTGGAACTCCCTCCCCGACAGGAGGCCAGGCTGGCCCCATTTCTGGGGTCCTTCCGCAAGCAGGTGAAGACCTTTGTCTTCATGCAGGCTTCACCTGAGTGACTAGCTGTCTGAGTGGAAGTTTTTTAATGGGCTGTTGTACCTTACTGCTTTTAACGTGTTCTGTATTACTTATGGTTCTCTACATGGCATTTGCTTGATCCTTTTTAGTAGCTGTATACTCACTGGCGTTAGCTTCAATATTGTCTTTTAATAATTTAAGCTGCCTTGGGTCCTTTTAAGGAGAAAGGTGGTGTAAAAATATTTTAAATAAATAAACATATAAAAATATACATGCTAACAGAACAATCTGAAGAAAAGCTGACATTGAATCCTATTTTTAATAACAAGCAGCCTGTATTTTCACATTTATTCATTTTAGGCTACACAAGTCATTTGCAACCACCTTTCATAAGTTACTAAGTCCGATAGATAATTACGTTAGTCTGCTGCAAGAAGAGCAAATAGCATCTCAAAGTAAAACTAAAACAAGAACAGCAGCACAATCCTATGTATATTTATTGAGAAATCATTTCTCATGGGTTGTGCTCCACAGTAGGTGGATGGATATCACGAAAGACATATAGCCTGGTAACACTGAAGAACTGCAGGGCTGACTGAGGCAAAGGGCACTGGGGTAACTGAATGAAAGTCAGTAAGGCACATGTTGAAAATTTGTTTTATTTTCATCTAACACACCACTAATTCTGGACACCCTTGTTCAAGAAATCCACTGCCTATTAAAGGCTAAAGGGACATGGAAAATCAGAACTGAGTGCCCTCATCCCCACTGTTCCTCCTCACAGTGAAGAGTCAAAGGCCAATACAGTATTTAATCCCTGGGACTCTCTGCACAAACCACACAAAATGACAAAAACTTCAAAACAAACAGACAAAAAACAAACAAACAAAGACAACCCGCAACCCACCCTGTAGTGCCTTGAAGTCAGTCCACTTACACTTTTGAAAACTGGGACCCATTTAAAAGGTAAACTTCCACCCCAAATACAGTACTTTCAGGAGGTGCTACTCACCTTTTTTTTTTCCCTGCCAGAAAAAGAGGCAACTAGGGGAAGCCTAAAAGCCATCACAAATAGGTTTGGGGGCCATACTTTGCCCACATGTGCTTTAAAGCAGCCATTCTCAATTTTTTTTTTCTGCCATGGCCAGAAACACAATATGGAATTTTTTATTATTTATTTATTTATTTATTTATTTATTTATTTATTTATTTATTTATTTATTTATTTATACATACATACATACATACATACATACATACATACATACATACATACATACATACATACATACCCCGCCTATCTGGTCATCTCAACCAACAAACATAGGCTGAGTCAGGATTGTCTAAGTCGTACACAGTATCAACTTTCTAAGGTGGCATGTGAAGAATTGTTTCCAGACTATGGCCCCGTTCAAATATGTCAGGGCCTCCGGGTTTGTGTGTGTGTCATACGGACCCAGTTGAGAATGGCAGCTCTAAGGGGATCAGCACAATGGCTCCCTGCTGTTTCTCCTGCACCACTACTAAGAACTGCTACTACAGTGCAGTGTGCTATTTCTATGTTCCCTATTGCTACTGGTCCCTAGAGAAAATAGGATCTATTTTGCAACCTGCATGATATAGTTGTATGCAGACATTTACAACAATTAAATTCTCTTGCAACAATTACCTTAATTCAATAGTGGGGAATTTAATAGCAGTAATAACAAGGTGCCATCAAGCTGATTCTGACTTATGTAGACCACTTCCAAGGTTCTCTAGATAGAGAGTATGCAGAAGTGGGTTACTGTTCCTTCTTCTGGAGGCACTCCGGGGCTGTGCAGCTTATCTAAGGCTGCACACACCAACTCTTCTCCCAGGAGGCACAGTGGGGAATCAAACTCCCCACCCAGACTCACTGAGCTATCCAGCCAGCTGATGAATTTACGCAATAACAAAAGTGTATACTGTATCATGAAATCAAGTCCACTATATTTTCCAGATGTAGCAAATAGACACTAAGAGATCTTTAAATACTGTCATAACTCATAAACATAAAACATAAATAAGAACATGGAGGTAATTTATGATCCTAACAGGTCTGCAAGATCTTTATATTTGGTGTTTTACCAGCAATGTGGGCTCCCAGAATATCTTGGCCTACAAAACCTAATACTGTATATATATTTTAGGAAGGTTACTATACCTCAAAAGTAACTAGTTATGTTTATACAGTTATTCAGAAGTAAGTTCTCTCCAGCGTAACAAGGCCTAATTCTAGATAAGCAAATAAACATTATAGCCTCAATGTAGTTTGAATGGTATACTGAAACAAAATTAATTTGTGTCTTGGAAGTGATTTTTGATTAGAAGGTTTGTAAATATTTTGACTTATGACAATCTAGTAGCAAATACAGCTTAAATGTTAATAGAACAATACTAATTTCAGCAATCAGACGAGCAGTATGTGCGCTATTTTTAACATATTCAACAACAGGAAAGTAACTGTTGAAAAGTGGATATTTTCTCACTAAAAGAATTAAGCAGTTTCAGGGTATAGAACTCCATTAAGTGTGCCAAAAAAGCACTTATAAATCACTCCATAGAAAATATCACTTCTGGAAAACATTAGACTAGATGTATAATATCAGAATAGTTAAACAAAAAAAGTACTGTGCCCCCCGAGGACTAACATTTATTTCATAGTGCCTGAGCAAGTAGACTGTAACCCATGAAATAAATCCATTAGTATTCAAGGTGCCACTTTTTCTGTTTTAATTTTATTTTCATTGTATATTCTGAAACAGATTAATGCAGCAGCCTGTCTCAAAGCCGATTCAAGGCACTCATACTGATCCCACCTACTGTATTCACAATTTTCAGGAGCTCAGAGGGATTTACTGCCAAGTGGGCATGAAAAGGATTTTGCTGTTAACTGCTGATCAGAAAAAAAGGGTCTAAAATCAAAATATGGGCTGATTTATGGCTTATGCCAGCTTCATGTATGTGGGAGGCTAAATACCACCGAGAGTGCCTGGCATGAAGGAAGGTAGGATAATTCTCTCTCCATGGAGCTGTGGAACCATAAAGACCCTTTGTCCTCGACAGTGTGAGGCACGAATTCCTCGTCCAACGTGTTAGACAAGTGGCAAGCAATCGGAGGGGTTTATGGCTGCAAGGATCTTTCCTGAATTTAAAGCTGCAGCTGGCTCTTCATAACTCCAGGCTGAGGGGCTGGGAATGGCTTAACCTGCCATGAGCTCGAATCCCCCCACGCCCTGCCCAGCCAGGACTGCGACTTGCACAGGACCAAGGTTTACAGTCCGCCAAGGGGAAGCAGCCTTTTAATTACTGTATAATCGCCCTCAGATTCTGCTTGCGGCAAATGGACCAGGCACACGCAGAGAGACACAAGAAGAAATCGCTCCCGGGGCGGCCCTCATGAGCAATTGTTACATTATTTGGACTCTTATTTACCATGCACCAGCTTTTTCATCTCGTGGTATCTGGCCCAGAGGTAGGTTTTCGGGTCGATTTTTTCGATCGGGCTAGGCGGGTGGGTGCCCACGAGAGGAGGAGAAGCGGCGGCGGCGGCAGGACCGGAGTCCGTGGCTTTCCTGGCTCTGGCGCTGCCAGAAGACGAGGGCGGCTGGGAATGCCCCGCAGACTGGTGCTGCCCGGCCCTTGGGTGGCCGCCGCCGCC